TAGACGCTGTGGTTCTTAACCTTTACATCTGGAATTCAGCAAATACACTCTTATTCTTGGATGTTACTTAGGAAATAGGATGTATCAATGGGCTGTTTGAAATCTTTTATGTTTTAGGAAATATGACTGAAATCATGCTTCTAGACATTGTGGTTCTTAATATGAATAGATTAGGGATTCTTTTGACAAACTAATCTTCTTCGATCAGATAGAGGGGCAGTTTGGCAGCTAGAAAAGCAAAATCCCGCCTAACAGACTGAAGATTCCGATCATTGAAGTTTTGGGCCAATATGCGGACCGTACAAAAACCACCTATTGTCGTGGAGAGCAAATGCTTCACAGCAGAGGTGTGACAACCTTCTTCGGATTGCTGAAGATGGAGCAGTAGGTATCTATATTGTCCTAAATACTTCAAAGTTATCATTTACTGGCTATGTTACTTTTGAAGAAGCATCTCTCTCCTATTAGAGTTCATCTTATTGCTTCATACCTTCATCTTGGTTGCTTTAGATATTGTTTGACAGGGTACAAATGTAATGCCTAGAAGCTAACTCAATGAAGTTCTTGACACTGAATAAGGGCTTGATTGGTCAATCAAGGTACAAAGTTTGGATTATCAGATTATGAATCAATCGCAGCAGTAAGTATCGGACTAGGTTTAATCTCCGTGTCTTACTCTATTACTCACTAGGTTTACATCTAAATTTATTTATTCTTTAATGACTGCAAACTCTCCTTTCAAGGTCTTTTTGGAGAATGTCAATTAGCAGTAGAATGAAACAGAAAACTGAACTATAGAGTGAAATTCTGCTTCTTTACTCATAGTCTTTTTGTTCAGTTAGTAATGTTCTTACTAAGCCCGCCTTTAATTCAATTCAGGAGCATCAAACCAAAATATATTTACTTATTTGTTAATGTTGAGGTAATTTACTAAAGGAAGATATTATCTTTGAGATCCCCCTTTAAGGCTTTGCATTTTCAATGTTCTCATGTAACTTCTAACATATTCCATACGGAAGACTCTCATTGGGTAGGATAGGCTGGTCCATTTGTATGGTTAGGGGAAGAACTTGATAGACCTGAATGTGCATTGAGTTTCTCTAATAAATATATCTCATCCGCGCTACTTGACACATTTAAATGCATTCCAGAAACACAGTTTTGTATTTATGGATGGGGTTGACCTTTTGGAGGTTTACCCTAATAAAAGACGCTAGGATTTAAAACTTTGGACTCTCCTATAGCTTTTTGTTGCTTTCTTTCTTGATTGTTGGGGAACTACTCACTCTCTCTACCAATTTGGGGTCTTAAATCATCTTTCAATATTGAATGAATCATTCTATTGGTGCTACTACCTATGAGGTAGATACTTAACATTCATACTAATATCTGTACATATTTCATGGCATTTATGCATATAAGTCCCTTAGCACCAATATAAGTAAAAGTAGGTTGATACTTGATATTGTCCTGAAGATGTTTTTATTGAATGATTTCTTTGTGATCTTTGCTAGAGTGGTAACCACATATCCTAATTTTATGTGGTATGGTTCTTAGAACTCATAATGATGATCTACTTGGTATATAAGGTGTAATATCATTTACAGTGAGAATTTCTGACATGATTTTTGACTTTTCATTTATCACCCATCATATTATACATGTCAGGATGTTTTTAGCCTTCTTTTATATCTATATATTCATCCAAAAATAAAATTCTTTTTTGGCAGCTCATTGTGGGTGCTCCTACGATAGATAAGTAAAAACAACGACGGGTAAATGTGCTGGCAGATTGTCCAGTGTGCAGCGAAGCGGAGGAGAATGTTTTACATCTTTTTTGTAATCGTCCATAAACTAGAGAAATCTGATCTAAGTTACGCACTCAGTTTGTGCGGCCAGTTGTTTCTTTTGCTAAGTGGATACAAGTTATGTTTGAGAAGCTAATAGAGGAGGATCTGTGCAAATTTATAGTGTGCTTATGGAGCATTTGGAAACACCAAAACAACAAGGTCTGGAAGAATGCAGATTTTTGCATTAGGAATGTGATAGTAGTGGGACGTGCAGCTTTGGGAGGTTGGCGTGAAGCACAACTACAGAGACAAATAACAGGGAACGCAAATCATGAGGGAGCAAAGTGGGGGAAACTGGGAGTTGGGTGGATTAAAGTAAACGTGGATGCTGCAATCAATCAACAGACGGGAGTTAGAGCTTGGGTATGGATTGCACAGGATGGGAATGAACAGTTTATTCATGTCCAACGGGGGCGCGGGAAGTACGTGAAGCAATGTTATGGGCAAAGGAGAAAGGTTGGTCATGTACGGTTGTTGAAACATATGCTTTGTTAGTGGTGACTGGGATTTGGGGAGAGTCGGGTTTATCTTAGGGGGAATTTGACTATGCACCCCACTTTTTGGGTGATATTGGACTTTGCACCCCGTTTTGAAAAAACTTTGATTTTGCACCCCATTTCACTTAAAATTTCTTTGACTTTGCACCCCATTTCACTTAAAATTTCTTTGACTTTGCACCCCATTTAGAAATTATTCTTCACAAAATGATATGTTTTGTGGTGCAAAGTCAATGTTTTTTGAAAATGGGGTGCGAAGTCCAATATCACCCAAAAAGTGGGGTGCTAAGTCAAATTCTCCATTTATCTTATTAAGATATTATTCTTCTTATTATGATATTATTCTTGATGATATTAGACAGATGTTGCTTTCTGATGAGAGCATTGTTGTAAATTGACTACTGTAAACGATCTACGAATTGAGCTGCTCATATTCTTGATAGAGCAGGCATTTCTTTGTTAGGCTGTCACGACACCTATTATACGGTGTTTGATTGCATTGTAAGCCAATTGGCCAATGATTGCTTGATCTAATATGGTTTGAACGTTTTCCAAAAAAACAAGAAGTATTTCTGTGAGTGCTTCTTTTGTTCTTCCTATATTGACATTAACACTTCATTTGCATGATTTTTTCCTCACATTATTACCAAGTAAACACTTAAACACTGAAACTCTAGATTTAAAACGTGCTGATATAGGCTACTCTAAATATTTGGTAACACTTTTGTAATATCCAGATGTGTGTGTGCATTACTATACTTTGAAATCCCGTGCAACGCACGGGTGAAAGACTAGTATATGAATAACAACTATCTGATTGTACTTTAGAAATCACCGCCTCTTTTGGTCAGTAGTTTTTTCTAACTAATATGGACGTTCATCGCAAGAGAGAAATTGTCTTAATTTTCCATTTCTCAATATGTTCTAATATGTTGTTCTCAATTAAACTTTAAGAGCTTACATATTCTTTATCAAATACATAGTAAATACGTAGTATTTGGTAAGGAATTGAATGATGCATCTCATGCAACGGCCAACGGGCAATAGTGAAAATTCTAGTAAGATTCCCTATATTCTAGTAAGTGAGATAAATTGTTTTTACTTCCAGTAATGTCTTCCAGTAATGTCACCCTAGTGAATAATGTTTGGTGTACACATTATTTGTACATATTTCGTATATATTGTTTATATAAAAACGTTTAATAAAAAATCACTAACAATTTCTATATTTTCGACGGATCGCCTGTGATATAGACGGAATGTTCCCGATATCTACAAAATGTAGAGGCCAGGGGTGTGTACACAAAAACATGTATAAATGGCATTTTATTTCCCACCCTATTTTTTCCAAGATCATGGAGCTTCATGTTCTCTCTGATGTATGTGAGTTGGCACGCCATCATAGGGTTTGGGTTTAATTAATGTTCCACTTAACCAAATTAGTGTTATTGTTGGATTTACCATCCCTCCTTTATGAAGTTTCTTATTTGCTTCTTAATGGTGTTGTTTGTTTTTTGGCGGATCTGCACCAACCCGCTGCTAAAAGCAGCGATTTCACGTTAAAAAAAAATTCAGCGGTTTGAAGCATCCGTTGTTCTCCTAGAAGTAGCTAGTAATGTAGTTAGCATACTCTAACATGTTATATTGTTATAGAATTGAGAAAACCAAAAGAAGATGGAGAAACAACGCAATTAAAGCAAAGCAAATCTTGTCGCCAAGTCTTTGGGTTGTATGAACAAAGGAAATTAAATAGCCTTGAAAAAGAAGAAACAGTCAAACAAAGCAACAATTGAAAGCCAAGTCTTCAAAATTTTAATGATCAACAAGTCGACGGCAATATGTACGGTGTAATATAAGGATACACTAAAGTGTAAACAAAATAAATACTTGGAACAAAATAATACAGCGCAGAATCAAAAGGGCAGCGTTTAGATGGCCCAGTTTATTTCATTTTTTGATAAAGGAAAAGTAAAAGGGAACTCATCTTCTCTTTTTATTTTTATATTGTGTGAACAAGCAACAACATATGCAATTAACCTTTTTTCTTTATATTTTTTGTTTCTCTTTTTCTTTTTATGTTTTCAAGAATTTATCCATCTGGACATTCTATATTCATATATACTACGTACTACGTACTTTGATATGTAGTAGTAGTATTATATAAACCTTTTCTCTTTATATAATATTTTTAATCACATTATTGAAATTTTTCCTAAATATTATTAAAAAGGTTTTGAAATTTCAAATTACGACTATCATGTTTTTTATTATCTGAAGAAGAGTAAATTTCTATCAAATTTGGCATAACAAGACTTTAAACATGACATTTTTCCAAACTTGATAGAATTACTCATATTTAGAGAATAAAAACATGAAAGTCTTATTTTGGGATTTTAAAATATTTTTACTTCTATTTAAGGCAATTTCTAAATTTTCTATTCTGATCTAACCTAAACACTTTAATTTGTTCTGATCTAATGGATTTAATGTCATGTGATATACTCCGGGTATAATATATTGATATAATGTTGGTTGGACAGATAATAAATACTACGTATTTTTGTTGCCAAAGAGGAATTCCACCAACGAATTTCAGTCTTAACTTTCCCTCCTTTTTATAAACTACAAAACCCTCCTTCCTGCCTTCACTCAATGAAAAGTTACAATTACAAATTAAAAAACAGAACAGCAAATAACAAGATGGGGAGTTGCTTGTTCCGAGGAGTAGCAGGGGACGTCGCCGGAAACGGCGGCGGCATTAAGGTGATAACCTCCACCAACGGCGTCATGGAGTTTTTCGCGCCAATCACGGTGGAGTCCATCGCCGACGAGTTTCCCGGCCACGGCATCTTCAGGAGGCACGACCTTTTCTGGAATCCCCTGCCCCACCACGAACTCCTCCTTGCCGGAAACTCCTATTACCTCCTCCCACTCGACAAGAACTGCAGCAGTCGGAGAATGAGCGCCGTTGAGTCCACGCCGGCGCCGGCGTTCGAGATCGGACACGTCAGATCCAACAGCGCGCCTCACATTCAGCCGCTCTCTGTTGCCACGTACAGAATGTCGTTCGACAGCCGCCGGGGAATACTACTCAAGAAATCTTCCACCGGCGGCGCGCCGTCATTGTCCGGCGGGAAAGGAAACGATTCCGGGCTTGGGTACGGTGGTGGGTTTTGGAAAGTGAAGCTAGTCATCAGCCCGAAACGGCTGATGGAGATTCTGTCGCACGAGGCCGCCACAGAGGAGCTGATCGACAGCGTGAGGACCGTGGCGAAGTGCGGGAAGGGCGGCGGTGCCGCCGGAGTTTCATCGGTGGCGTTTTCCGATCAGTGGAGTCTCTCCAGCAGTAGAAATGCTTCGTCCAAGAAAGATGGGATCCTGTCGGGATGACCGAAACAGGGCTATGAATTTGGGTTGACTAATGATGTAGATGGAGTCAAAATTGGTTGTGTAATATAGTCCGTACATAGTTGCATGTTCTCATTCCACCCTGTCTTTGATCATCATCCCATGGCTGTGGAGTTAGTCTACTTTGAGTTATACACCATATTTATCCTTTGAACAACTCCATCAGACAAAAGACAAAATTATGGTTCGTCTCATTTTTTGGGAATAATGGTAAAAATATATTACCTGAGATAAAAGTTTAGTGCATCACAGTCAGGGGCATACCCCCTCTTGCTTTCACCATAAACACATAAAGATCAATAGTACTATTAACGTATTATTTTAGGATCAATATTGCTGTAATTAATTATTTGTAGCTGATTTAGTGATTAGCAATCCCTGATTGTAGTTGATTGATTGCAATCCTTATTTGTATATTTAGTTTCCATAATTAGCTTTGAGAATCATGTATATAACCTATGTTATTGTGAAATAGAGAATCATCAGTTTCTTCACAAACTTATATGGTATCAGACTAACCATTCGGTCCTACACCATGTCTTCCGATGGCCAAACCACCAATGCTTCCGCAACTCAAATTCTTTTCACCGCATCCGGTGGCGCCTCTGCCACTCTTCAATTTCCGACTTTGGCAGTCCGCCTAGATCGGACCAACTATTCCCTCTGGCGTGGAACCATCCGATCTGCCCTAGAAGCTTATGAGCTCGATTCTTTCTTGGTCTCTGGCACTGCTCCATCAGCAACGTTGCCACCCAAAGACGGCTCCACCATCTCTGATTTGAACCCAGCTTTTGCGACTTGGAAACGCAAAGACAGACTAGTTCTGTTATGGCTTCGCTCAACCCTCACTACTCCCTTGCTTGGTCATGTGGCTCGTGCCACTACCACCTCTGAGGTATGGCTAATGCTCGAGCAAATGTTTCATGCTCAAACTCGGGCACTCCAAATGCACCTTAAACAGCAACTTCAGACACTTTCAAAGGGCTCTATGTCCGTTCTCGAATATGTTGAAAAGAAGCGTGCCATCTCAGACTCGTTGGCTGAGTGTTCGATGATTGTCTCAGATGATGACTTTGTATCCTTTCTCCTATATGGTCTCGGCCCTGAATACGGAGCATTCAAATCTGCTCTTAACATTCGAGTCGAGCCCTTCAACTCCACTGAATTGCTGGGTCTCCTTCTTCGTGAAGAACGAAGTCTTGAAGATGCTCACACCGATACATCATTATTGTCTGCCAACATCGCAACCAGAAGGGCCTCAGGTGGACGATTGTCTTCTGGTTTGGCCTCCACAGATGCTATTGATCGTCCAAAGTTCACTTGTCAAATCTGCACTAAACCACATCATGAGGCACGCAATTGTCATCAGCGCCTTAACCTTGCTATGTTTCCTGCAACTAATCGGAAAGCAAGTGACCGCCAACGCCAACAACACCCGTCCCTCTCCAAACAAGCACATTTTGCTTCCAGTAATAGTCCTTCCACCTCAACTGATCCATGGGTTGTTGACTCTGGTGCCACAAACCATGTTGCCTCTGCTATGGACAATTTAAACATTCAATCAGAGTACACTGGTCCAGACAACTTGGTTGTTGGTAATGGTCAGTCTCTTCCTATTACTCATTTAGGTCAATCATCATTACCTGCTATGCATGCTTCTAAACCACTATCTCTCAAAAATATTCTTATTGTCCCCACAATATCAAAAAATCTTGTGAGTGTTTCTCAATTATGCAAAGACAATAATGTCACTCTGGAATTTCATCCTAACCATTGTTATGTTAAGAGTTCGCAGGGCCAGATAATCCTCAAAGGGGTCGTTGAGAACGGCCTATATCGGCTTCCCGTCAGTTCCTCTGTTTTGAGTCCTCATCAAGTCTTTGTGGGTGAACGAGCTTCTGCTGCGTGCTGGCATCATCGCTTTGCTCATCCACATGAATCCATTTTGCGTCATCTCCTTTTTACTTACAATTTACCCACCTCTACAAATAAATTGTTGTCAGTTTGTAATGCTTGTCAACTAGGTAAAAGTCATAGAATTCATTTACCACAGTGTCATGTTACTTCAAAGCAACCGTTTGATTTAGTATACTCAGATGTGTGGGGGCCTGCCCCTATGTCTTCTTTGAATGGTAATCGATACTTTGTTCTTTTTATCGATGACTGTACCAAGTTTATATGGATTTATTTCCTAACCAATAAATCTCAAGTTCTCTCGGCTTTAAAATTATTCAAAGCAATGGTTGAAACCCAATTCTCTACCAAAATTAAGGCTTTCCAATCTGATTGGGGGGGGGGGCGAATATTGCACTGTCTCCTCCTTTCTGCAAACCCATGGTATTGATCATCGTGTTTCATGCCCTCATACCCCTGAACAAAATGGTGCCTCTGAACGGCGTAACAGGGTTGTTGTTGAAAAAGGTCTTGCTCTTTTAGCCCATTCTAAACTACCTGTAACCTTCTGGGAACAAGCCTTTCACACAGCTGTCTATACCAATAACAGAACTATGACTCCTATTCTCAATCACAAATCACCATATGAGTGTCTGTATAAGCGTCAACCTGATTATAATTTTCTCAAATCTTTTGGCTGCTTATGCTACCCTTATATCAGACCTTACAATAATCATAAACTAGAGTTTCGTTCAGTTCCTTGTATACTATTAGGGTACAGTGCTAAACATAAAGGATATCTATGCTTTCATGTTCCCTCATCTCGCACTTACACTGCTAGACATGTTGTCTTTGATGAAACTTCATTTCCTTATCCTGATCATAGCTCTGAAGTCAACTCAGACACACGGACCCATTTAGACCTCCCACTTCATACTCTTCATGCAGCATCCACCATTGACCTCCGTCCTCCTTTACCAGCCCCCTCCCTGCCCACATCACCCAACTCGTCCTCTGACTTGGGTGAGTCTGCTATACCATCTGTCAGTTCCTCATCTAATTCTTCTGACCTCACACCACCTTCTCCCACAAACCACACGTCAACCGAGTATACTTCTGGCCACACGCCACCACACTCTTCCATGGTCGAACAACCTCCACCTCCAGTCATTCCTACTGCCAATCCATACCCCAATGCCCCTTCATACTTCCGCCCGTCTGCCAACTCAAAACATACAATGGTTACTCGAGCTTCTACCTCTACTCTCAAGCCCAAATCTTTCATCACCACTAAATATTCCCTGCCACATGACTTCTCTGAAATTGAACCAAAAACCTTTTCCCAGGCCACCAAAAATCCTCATTGGCAGCATGCTATGCAGTTAGAATTTGATGCCTTAATGTTTAATAGGACTTGGGACCTTGTTCCCAGGCCTCCTGGTGCTAACATTGTGGGTTGTAAGTGGATTTTCAGGATTAAGAGAAAGCCGGATGGTACAGTGGAGCGTTATAAAGCCCGATTAGTAGCAAAAGGTTTCCACCAGGAAGAGGGTGTTGATTACTTTGACACATTCAGCCCTGTTATCAAGCCTACAACAATACGACTTGTTCTAAGTATTGCTATCACTCAGAATTGGTCTCTTCGACAAGTGGACATCAATAATGCTTTCCTCAATGGTGATTTGTCTGAAGTTGTTTACATGGATCAACCGCAAGGTTTTGTTGCCTGTGATCATCCCACGCATGTGTGCAAGCTCAAAAAGGCTCTTTATGGCCTTAAACAAGCCCCACGTGCCTGGTTCCATACTTTACAACAATCCCTGATTGACCATGGTTTCAGACCTTGTATATCAGACAACTCTCTCTTCATAAAACGCCATGGCACTGATGTTGTTTACGTTCTAATCTATGTTGATGATCTTATCATCACTGGTTCTAATTCTCTATTTATTGATAAGTTTGTCACATACCTTAACTTTGTGTTCTCTCTCAAGGACTTAGGCCCGCTTACTTTTTTTTTGGGCATTGAAGTGCACCGCTCTTCATCCTCTCTTCTACTGTCACAACGGAAGTACATACTGGATCTTCTGGAACGCAGCAAAATGATGGGAGCCAAACCTATCGCATCTCCGGCAGAACCTGGCTCCAGGCTATATATGGGCGGGGATCCATTCACTGATCCACACTTATACCGAAGTATTGTTGGAGCATTGCAATATGTAACCATCACTCGTCCTGAAATTGCTTATTCTGTAAATCGAGTTTGTCAATTTATGCAGAACCCGTCTGAGCGCCACTGGGCTGCCGTTAAACGCATCCTGCGATATCTTAAGGGAACCATTGATGCCGGTTTAATATTTCGTCCCTCTCGAGACTCAAGGCTGGTTTGTTTTACGGATGCTGGTTGGGCATCTGATCCTGACGATTGCCGCTCTCAACATGGTTTCTCCATTTATTATGGAGGCAATCTGATCAGTTGGTCATCCCGAAAGCAAAAGGTTGTAGCTCGTTCAAGCACCGAAGCAGAATATCGAGCAATTGCTTTTGCTTCTGCAGAACTTATTTGGCTCCAACAGCTTCTAAAAGAGATGGCTGCCAACTTTGATGGACCGCCTATCCTTTTATGTGACAACCTCAGTGCGACCTTCCTCACGGCTAATCCAGTTTTTCATCAACGATCCAAACACATTAAAATTGATTACCATTTTGTGCGTGAACAAGTTCAGTCAGGTGAGCTGGTAGTTCGCCATGTCAAGTCTGTCGATCAAATTGCTGACATCTTTACAAAGGCTGTCAGCTCTTCTCGTTTTAAGAACTTACGGCACAAGCTGCTCGTTCGTAATCGCCCGTGAGCTTGCAGGAGGGTATTAACGTATTATTTTAGGATCAATATTGCTGTAATTAATTATTTGTAGCTGATTTAGTGATTAGCAATCCCTGATTGTAGTTGATTGATTGCAATCCTTATTTGTATATTTAGTTTCCATAATTAGCTTTGAGAATCATGTATATAACCTATGTTATTGTGAAATAGAGAATCATCAGTTTCTTCACAAACTTATAAGTACAAAGCTCACTAGATGCATATCACACTTAAAGAAATCATTCAAACTGGAAACCAACTAACCAAGATATAACATAGTATGACCTCTTCAAAAATCAATAAGAGAGATAGGATATAGCTTGAAAAGCACCTTGTACACCAAAATTTTGATCTGCAAGAATATACTCTCCATACTAACCACTATGTGGGCAAAAATTGCTAGTCTTATTTCTAGCCTTCCACACAATACAAACAATATAACAAACAGATTATCGGACTGCCTTGCTCATGATCCTTGTACTTCCATAAAGATTGATGCACATTTTAACTGTGCTGAGTAAAGTGATAGTATTTCTTCTAAATCTCAGCCAAATTATAACCTTCTACCACACATCTTTAGTGAATGGACATGTTGTGGGACAATTCCAGCTCAGGTTCTTTAGTTTACACCCACAAAGAATGATAAATCACCACTATAAGTCTCAAGGGAAGAATTGGGCATCAACCATCAAAGTTTTTCGGCCAATTCAAATAGGGTTCCATGGAGGAGCTATAGGTGCGAAATAGGGAGGAAGGGTTTGGGCCAGCCACAAATTGCAGACGGGAAAGGGATTAAATAGGCAAAGCTCGGACACGCCATACATGGAAACTTGCCTTAGTAAGGAGAAAGCAGAGTATAGTGCGAGGAAGGAAAGATACGCAAAAGGGAGAAAGCCGTTCCAAAGACAGTCTGTGCAAAGATTAAAATGATGGGCCGTGTACTCCTCCAAACAATTGGGCTTAGGGAAAAGAACTTGGGTCACCAACAGGACACTTAAAGAAGAGATGTTCCACCGAATCCATCTGTAATTTGCAGAAACAACACCTTCTCTCTATATCCATATACATCGGGTTGCCACAAGTCGGCAACCTATTTCTTAACCCAAGCCATACAATAAATGGGAATTTATTAGAAGGGATATATTTCTTCCAAATCATATTCGTCCAAGGTTTGCTATGAGCTTTGGTTCTTAAAATGTCATACACCTTACCAGCTTTGATCCTTCCATTATCACAAAAAGAATAAAGTCTATTGATCATTTCGGTTTGTCCACCCATCACATTTAACAAATCATCCCGAATCCTGATCAATCTGGTGAACAAAGGTACCCCTCAAATAAATAATATGGACCCATTTCACCCAAAGAGTGTCGTTTTTCATATAGATATTCCCAAGTGTTTTGGAAAGCATGGCAAAATTCCACACCTTACAATCTCTTAAGCCCAATCCTCCCTCCTCTTTAGGTCTACACACATCAACCCACACAACTTTGGCATTTGTTCCTCCCCACAGAAATTGCCTACAATGGCTAATAATTTTCTCAAGAACAATAACAGTAATGGGAAATACCTGATATGCTAAGTATTTCTCAAGAACAGTAAGAGGAATGGGAAATACCTGATATGCTAGGAATGGCTAAAACTATTGCCTACAATGTTTCTATTGAAAATTACGTAGTACAATATTTCATTTAAACATTTCACCGAACAACTAATATGCTACGTAGTACTATGTATATAAGAATCAACATAAACACATTCTAAGAAAACCGCATATGCTAGTGTTTGCTAGTTTTAGAAATGTACTTTTGCATCTCGACTCATCATTAATAGAGTAACTCTTTTGGCTTCACCCATATCTATACTACTTTCGTTTATGTCTATTGTTGATGTTTCGATAAATTTTTTATTGTTTGTAGATGGACTTTATATATAAATATATGTACACACACACATATATATCCGTTTTAATAATAATTGCCTATATTGGTTACCATGGTCCTTTTTTCGTCCAACATAACATCTAATCTACACGGAAACATACCATTTCATTGACACACACATATAGAAAATAAGGTTTGCTGTTACCAGGCCGTTTGCCGCATCGTGAGTTTGATCGGTTTGAACTTGCAAGTGTACATGTGCCGATATAGTAATAAATTCCGGTAAAATACCGGGTCGAATCCACAGGGAAACATTGTTTAATTTAGTCCGAGAGTAGATGACATTAAATAAAGAAATGAATAAAGTGCAGGGATTTTGATTTGTGTGTTGTTGTGAAAACAACAACTTGGTTCTTCTCTTTAATTTTCGGGGATACAACTTAAATTAATTTGATTAAAGTGATTGATAACAACAACTAAGGCTTCGGGAATCACTTAAATGCTTTAATAGGCTTGAATATTAGTTCTTTACCAATAATTATGAATACGACGTCGCTAATATATTCTCAACCCTGGTTAAGGCAGCGAGAGCGTGGTTTTCGTTACGTGTAAGTCCCGTTACGGCTTTGATAAGTCCGTATTTTGACACGTATTTGATGCGTGTTGAGATCGGCTTTTGATGATTTTCCTAGTTTTAATGTGTTACAAGTCTCAATTTTAGCTCAAGTTATGTTTACCGGGCGTTGGTTCGAGTTTTGTGTTGTTTGTAGTCAAAATCAGGGAATTTGAGCCCGACACCGGCACTTGAGGAAAAATTGGGATGATTTGAGAAGCATTTGAGAATAATTTGATAGCTTTGGAGGTCACCAGGAGGTTCACGATGAAGATTTGAAGGAAAAAGAGCTCTAGGATTGGCTTCGGGATCAAAAGAAGATGAATGAAGCTTGAAAACAATGATCAGGATGACCTTCTGTCAATCGTTCAAGCATATCTCTTTGTAGAAACATCCAATGGACACGATTCAAGTTCCATATAAAATCCAACTTCAATAGCTACAAATCATATGAAGACACCTTTGCAAGAATCTAAGAGGAAGAAGGTGAAAACAGATGATGAAGTCAGATGATCTCTGCTGCGATTGCATAAAGACACCTTCCACCGTTTTGATGATATCTCTTGATTGGATGATTCAAATCACATTCAGCAACTTGGGGTGGATAGAGGACTTCATTATCTACAACTTTCATGAAAGAAGTTTTTATCAAATTCGGAAGTTTTACGCACGCCATGCGTAGGGGAACGCACGACCGTGCGTCTGAGGCGAGAAAGCAAAGAACCTACTGCCAGCAATGCACGGCCGTTCGTTGGGGGACGCACGCCGTGCGTTCCATATTTTTACGCGGCTATGCTCCGGACGCACTGGGGGACGCACACCGTGCGTTGGCCCCGTGCGTTGCCCCTGGAATCCTAATTTCGCCCGAATTTGTTCCGTTTTTTCCTATTTAAACAGCCTGAAAACCCCGTTTTCAAGGGGGGAGCTTAGAGAGAGTGCCTAGCACGAATTTTAGAGGGTTTTTAAGCCTTGTTCATCAATCTTTTGGGATTCTTTGTAATTTCCACCTTTTTAATTAATGACAATTAATTCTTTTTATTCCAATTCTATTGATTCTTCAATTATGAATTGTGAGTAGTTTTAATTAGGGATTTGGGATTGATGAAGGGGTTAATCATGATGTATGGTTAGATTCTTTTCGGTTTAATTGCATGAATGCCGTTTAATTTGTGTTTGAATAATTTAATTGATATCTTTTGTAACCTAGAATCGCGACTAGAATTACAATTGCAAGTAGAATAAATTAAGAGAGATCTAATTTGTTCTAGGACACATTCACACACACTTAATCGTTCGCTAAGAGATTAGTAGCGATTAAGGGGCCGTAAGCTCGCTCGTCTTGGCAATAATTTAGGATCCTGTCGCATGAGAGATCAGTCTGGTCCCCTAAATTATTGTACTCTACGCCGCGAGAGCGGTAAGAACTTAGTAATGATTAGTTAGGCTCAATTGAATTAATTTCATGTAATTAGGCCTGATCTGCCAGAAATCTGGTTACCCCGGAATCGATCCTTGTTCCCTTCGTCATTAATTAGAAAGAACCCCCTAGTTTAATTGTTCGCATTAGTTTTATTTTCCAAACCAACCAATCTCGCACAACGCTTTTATTTTATTTTCTTTTTAATCGCTGAATTTAATTAATTCTTGATTCCCTTTTGTCCGTCCCTGTGGAGACGATACTCGTACTTACACCACTATATTACGATCTATTTTAAGTGCGAGAAAACACACATCAGGCTTACATTCATCTACCAAAAACCCCGTTGAATATCAAGACATCACACCCGTATCATATGATACCAGATATATTTCTATTCTCGGTAATATATATGTTTATTGTTTAATGTTCACAGTTTAGACTTCAACGTTAATTGCAAGCATAAACTAAATTTTACATACTTCTATGTTGTACACCATAGTCATAAACAATCAAAATGTAAAGGATAAATCACAATCTATTGGTTTAGAACTTTTATCAAACACCTAGTGGGCATAGAAGTTCATCCCTAGCCTTATCTATGAAATTAGCCTCTAATGCTCATATTAATCACAATACAATATTGAAATGTAATGGAACATGAAATTACAAAGGAAATAATACCTAAACACCAATGATTTCGGAGGTTGAAGTTTCCTCCTCAAGAATTTGAAGAAAAATAGCAAGAACAAAATATAAAAGCTAATCTATGAAAATGGAATGTGTTTGAATGATGAATTAAGGGCTTTATATAGGCTAAAGAATGGAATCTTTTAGTCTATTCGAGCCCAACAATAAGGTATGGAAGCAATATTTGATCACACTTGAGAAAGATGAAGTTTTCCCATCAAAAATCCTCTTGCACGTTGGACTGTTTTGTGCAGAATCGGACCTACCCGGCGCCGGTTTCAGGCCTACCCGGCGCCGGTTCTTCATAGTGCGCTGGAAAATCTGAAATTTTGACATACCCGGTGCCGGTTATAAGGCCTACCCGGTGCCGGGTAAGCTACTGGTTTGTGCCATGCGAAAATTAACAAACCGACGCGAGTTTGTTGCAAATTTCGGTGCCGGTTTTGTCCTGGGATTTTGGGGATGTTCCGATACGAATTTGGACATGACTCCTTCACCAAAGTTGTAGATAATGAAGTCTTCTATACACCAAAACTTGAATGACGTGAATTTATTCAGCCAATCAAAAGTTATGGGTAAAACACTGAGAAGTATGCATCCTGAAATCCCACCAGCAACATCTGACTTTGTTGGTTGATTGAATCTTTCTCCTTTCATATTTTGGCCATGACGTCTTCATAACATTTGTACCTTATTTAGTTAGTATTCACATGAAACTCGAATCGAGTGATTTCGAGTTCTATAGAATAAGTTATACTCAAATTATGGGCAGAACGTCATTCTATTGGTCCAAAAAGTCGTTCATCGCAATTTTTTATGCTCTACGTCTCATTCTGGAGGTATTTTCCCGATTTCTCTTATTTTCTTCAACAAATACTTATAAATACTTATGTTAAACACAAGTAAATATAACGGCTATCAAATCCCCCCACACTTGAGCATTGCTCGCCCTCGAGCAATTTCTTCACCTTGGATGCCTTGGTTAGTTTCAACAAAAATATATGCAAAAAAATAATTTTATTTTTAAGGGAGGTATAAAATTATGTAAACTCCTTTATCATTCTCGGTCTAAAACCAAATTTATATTAGACACACAAAACTATCATTAGATTTAGAAAAATTGCTTATACTCTTGAAAGTAGATGAGTTGATTGTGACTAAGGCTTTTTGGGTGTGTAGGATGGCTTTTTGGTGTATTTGACTTTTAAGTATAGAATTGGATCAGTTGAAATTCTTGGAAGAGACCATGAGTTTTTTTTGACTCATTTGAATTGGTTCTCAACAAGCATTTACTAAAAGTCTTTTTGATCACCCCAATTTATTTGATGAGATATGAGGGTAGCTTGTTTTCCAAAATGGTTCTTGAATATTTGAGATGTACTTAAACCATTTTTGGAAATGGAAGAAGATGGTGTTTCCTAGTCGAGGTTTATTTTTGGGAATGGTTTTCAAGAGTAAAAGTAGTGTAATAAATCTAAAAAAAATGATAGTTTATGTGAATAATAAAAACTTTCTCAACCAAATACCCATTAAAAAGAGAATTATCACAACTTTTACCTTCCTAAAAAAATTACTTTGCACACACAATTTGTTTAACTAACCATGAGATGCACCCCCCCCACACTTGAGATACATTGTCCTCAATGTACATTGGAGGGTGTAATGGAGGATGAAATCTTCAATAGCGGAATGGGTTGTCTTGTGAAAGTAGGGGATGCATGATACATGAGTTTAGATGATGCTTTTTTTTTGTTTTTTTTTTTGTTTTGTTTTGTTTTTTTGGGTTTCAATTATAAATAAATATGAATATGTATTTAACTAAACATATTTATTTATAATTGAATTTGTTGGCTTGCCTCCCAATTAACGCTCAGTTTAACGTCATAGGCCGGACACAACGTACCTCTCACGTGTGATTGGGCTCCCGAAGACGTTTGACTAATGTTACCCTTTTGAGATCGTGAGGAGGCCATGGTGTTGTCCGTCCATTCTTTTCATTCCCGTGGTGTGTTGGAGGGCACTCTGGCCTCAATATTTGTGCCTTCATGATGTTTATGGTCTTGGAAGGGATGAAACGATTTGTGTTGACCTCCATGTTTTGACTTGGTATGGATTGTGTTTTCCATACATGGAATGTTTCGTCGTCTCCTCCCACTCTTAGCTTTACGGTTGCCGCTTGCACATCAATGACGACCGCGGAAGTGGCCAAAAATGATCTCCCAAGGATGACGGGAACATCCATCTTTTCCATGTCTAAAACAAGAAAATCTACCGGAATGTAGAATTTTCCTACTTTGACAAGGACATTCTTCATGATGCCTATCGGGTAGCGGATTGTTCTATCCGCTAATTGCAAATCAACCGTTGTTGGTTGGAGTTCCCCCACACTTAGCTTTTTAAATAGGGAGTAGGGCATGAGATTTACGCTAGCGCCAAGGTCACAAAGAGACCTTACCTCCCCGACTTTTCCGATAGAGCATGGAATAGTGAAGCTTCCGGGGTCTTTTAGTTTTGGAGGAAGTTTGTTTTGAATAATGGCACTACATTCCTCCGTTAGTGCCACGGTTGCGAATTCCTCTAACTTCTTTTTGTTGGAGATGATACCTTTGAGAAATTTTGTGTATGATGGAATCTCCGCAATGGCCTCCGCAAAAGGTATGTTGATGCTCAATTTCTTGAAAATATCAAGAATTTTCTTGTGTTTCTTCTCATCTCCTTTCTTCTTCAACTTTTGTGGATAGGGGATGGGAGGAACATATTGAGGCATAATAGGTGGCAACGGTGTATGTGAAACCTCTTCTTGTTCCTCTGATGTCTTTCTTCTCTCCGGCATCTTGGGTTCCTCCGTTTTTCTCCCGTTTCTTGTGGTAATGGCCATGACGCTCTCCCTAGGATTTACCTCTGTAGTTGTAGGGAATTTACCTTGCTCTCTAGAACTCACTTTTTGAGCGAGTTGCCCCATTTGAACTTCAAGATTCCGGATGGACGCCTTGGTATATTGCTCGATGGTGTCAATGCGTTGGTTGAGCTTTATATTTTGATCTTCAAAGCGAAGATCCAACTTGTTGAATTGAGAGTGGAGATTCCCAATGGATGCCTCCACTCTACTATGGTTCTCCTCATTTTGGACTTTTATAGCCACACCATTTTGAGTGAGAGCTTTCATCATCTCCTCCATTGTTTGCTCTTTTTGCCGTTACGCAAAATTGGATGGGGGGTTAGAAGGACCTCCTTGCGGTCTCCAAGAATTACCTTGGTTAAACCTTTGTTGATTGTTGTCTCCTTGATTCCCCCTATTCCCATATGAGTTCATATAATTCACTTCTTCAATAGTTTGAGGTGAATTACCTTCCGGTTTCACTATGTTTTCCACATTTGCCACTTGAAAAGGGAGGTGTGAGCAGTGAATGAGAGTTGCCCATGCCTTTCGAAGCCATTACGGTAGATATGTTGAAGTATAAAAGCACCACTCCGGCAACAGACTTCTCACATCCATTCGGCCTTCAAGCTCAAATAATATTCCTTCTCTTCTCTTTCTCATGTCCCTATTGGCATCTGAAGTTTACGAAGTATTTTCTATGCCTGCAATTAGCAAGGACATCATGGCAATATGCTATACATATGTGTTATGAAGACACTCACACGAAAGTTTTAGATATAGAAATATATATCATTGATGATTAGTTATCTTAACAAGGCATGGTTAACATCAAGGTGTTTCTGGTCCATAACTAACATGTTTTGATGAAGAATACATTTGCGATCCTTGAGGAAAAGACCTATATATCTACTAAAGTCAAACTACATCAGAAATAGCAAGTCAGGCAATTAAAGGTTATAAAATGTCTCACTAGAGATTCTGATGGCAAGAGAAATAGATGATGTTTGTAATAAAAGCAACTCTTTGGAGAGAAAACACATCACAATTTCTGTAATAATGAGGCAAAAATAGTGCTTTGGTTGGAAAGATCATGAAATGTAAATTTAGATGTTAGGGTCATTGGCGGGCGAGCATTTAAACGTAGAGGGACTGGTGGCGAAAAGGAGAAATGGAGGGTGGTTGAGATAAGTTTGATTCAAAATAATTCATGTACGCATTAGCTGATACGATTTAAGCGACCTGATTAGGTATAATCCCCAGCACACAACTTATACAATAATGGACAGAGTTTATAGAGACAAAGTCAAGGATAGATAAGAATTTTACCTTCGCAATCATGTAAAGACTATTATGAAACAACATTAGTTGTTGCCAAATAGAATACAAATGTATAATCGCAGTTGCGCTGCAAAAATTCAACTTGAAGCTCTTGATAATAAAGTCATAATATATGGATGGATAGACTTACTAAATTCAAAATAGAGTTTTAAAAAGGTCAATTAATTGATATCTTAAATATTTAAATATCAAATCAGATTAAATTTTTTCTTTTATTTCACTCAAGTTGTTGGATTTTTATCTATCTATCCACATGGTTAGTGTATTGGTAAAAATAATCAAACCTCACAAGTTCAAACTGCAACCTTTACTAGAGGGTTCTTTAAAGTTTAAACCCAAAAAGAAGAGTACATGTAGTCACTAAAAGTAATTCAAATAAATGTTTGGATGTTTATCAAGTTATGAGTCATGGATTAAAATCAAACATTAATAGAAAATAAGATGAATCATTTCCGGTGACTATATGTTATTAAAAGCACAAATACATTGTAGTTTTTCCTCTTGAGTAAACCGCACAAGAGTATTAAAAGAACAGTGGAAGAATCTGCATACATGGGAAATTTTATTTTTGAATTGATACACAAAATCTCACCAATCAATTTAAAATCAATTTTATATATGTATTAAAACATTTATCACACTAAAATCTGAAATGAATAAAAACAGGTCACCAATACCTCCTTTCAGATCTAAATACACACCAATCAGTGAACGATAGTGTGGTCTTTGCAATTTTCGACTCAGAAATTACATGCACACAAACATAAGTTTCAGATTAGTGTTGGTGTGTGGTCTATAAAAAAAAATAAAGTATATAAAATTAAAATCTTGAAGTCTCTTAACAGAGAATGTAATGTACCTCCATTCATATCTATATAAATGCAAATCAACAATATTTTTTTGTTTCTACATGATTTCCAAGCTCCGACATTACATGCACAACTATAATTTTATCAAAACAGTTCCACATGACATCGGAGATTAAGCATGTGAAATAAAATGAAAAAGATAGACATATTTACCGACATCACCGCTACATTAGATGAAGTATTTTTTAGCCATCGCTATTGATGTTCAACACTACTTGACGAACTTGCCGATTTGAGATCTTTTGTGTTTGGCGCCGCTGAAGGCTTTACCGTGAACGGGTGGTGAAGGTGTTTTGAGGACTAGCCTGGACCGAAAATACGACTCTGTCGAAACAGAGGCGGCAAATCTAAACATAAGAGACGCTAGGTTGATTTTAGAAGAAGACATTAGGGTAAAGATGACAGAGATACATGCCACATTCGAATTCATCACGCCCTTTCCGGGGAAGTTTATTACGGAGTAAATGATTTAATTTGTGGTATCAAAACATTAGAATGGTAAAGCCGTAAAGAACAGTAGGATGGATAACAAATGGCTGTTGAACTTTCTAGATTCAAATTGGGGGAAAAAACGAGTAAAAAACGATGCCTCCACGGTGCCTTACAAAAATAATGGGTTAGAGTAAATATATTGTTTTATTTAGCAAACCAAGTTGAATTATTCGTAATCACTTTTTTTTTTGTTCTCCTACGTCAGTTGGAAAGCCAACACCATACAATTGTATATAGTTCATATTCTTATGGCATGTTTGGTAATACTAGAATTAGATAAATTGGCTAGATTGACTAATTCTGGTGAATTATGAAAAAATTATATTTAAAAAATACTCTGTATTTTATTAATAAAAAAATTATATGAAAAAATAGTTAAAATGGTCCTCCGCGATAACTTTAGTCCGTTCAATTAAAAAATTAACTTCTACATTAGTTATTTTAATTATTACCAACTCAACGTGTGAAACCAAAAAAATGTGTGCTTTGTTAATAAAAAATTGATCGATAAGACTGATAACTCGAAAAATAAAGTTGTTAAATGAGGTCTTAATGTTTTTAGTATGTTCGAACTGCTAAATACTTTTAGATTAAATTGGAAATAATAATATGGAGTAAAAATTTATAAAAAGTAGTGCATTTCATATCAGTATAATTTGAGCCTGTTTAGGATGTTTTTACTTTGACTATAATTTGTCCCAGATCAGACCTGGCCAGATTAGACCATACCAGACAAGATCAGACTTGCGTAGTTATAAAAATACAAAGAAACCAAACCAGACCAGACCAGTTCAGGTCAGACAAGTAAATTACAGTCCAAGTAAAAACATCCTTAATAACACTAGAATTGGACGAATCAATTGAAATTGCTGAAGTTATAGTTCAATCAATTGAATTAGATGAACCTATCGTATTGTTCATACCCAACGTAAATTTTATTAACAAATCAGCGAAAATTGTTAAAAATTAAAATGATCTTCTATAATAACTTCATCCAATTCAATTAGAAAAGTAACTTCAACCGTAAAAAAGGGGGTCACCAAACAAGTTTTTTTATCCTAATTATTACACACAGGGGCGGAGCCAGAGCGGTGGGCCGGACTGGGCCGGTACAAAGAATATTTTTGGAAAAAAGTTTACACGAAATTTTTTACACTAAAAATATAGACATTTTTAAAATTTGGGTTGGGCCAGGGCCAGGGGTGGCCACCCCCTAGCTACGCCCCTGATTACACATGTGAAATTCACCAACTGTACATCACACGGGTGTTCTTACTAATGTTAGTAAAGGAAACTTGTGGTTCTTAGATGTGTAGATCACATTGATAACATGTCATTTAGTGTACTTTCACACCCCGTAAAAATTGATAGGAATAATAAGAACACAAGGCTAGTTGTTGTGGCAACAGTTCACGATGAGCATCCTACTCTCATAGTTAAAACATCGGGAGGCCACTGATGAGAGTTTTGAGAATACTTGGAGCAAAAAATGAAGAAAAATGATAAAGAAAAGGCTAGGCACGGTCGTGCCCAGCCTTAGGAACGGTCGTGCCTATAGAACAAACGTGTACCTGATCATTGGAATGCCAGGCACGGTTGTGCCTGGCCTTAAGCACGCTCGTGCCCGAAGAAGAAAGATATTCCGAGTCCCTGAAATGCTAGGCACGGTCGTGCCAAGCAGGGAGGCACGCCATGCCTGGACGCGTTTTTCGTTGTTGCTCCGCAGGCACGGTTGCAGGCACGATCGTGCTTGGCTCCGTGCCTGACCCCGTCTTTCCTAGTTTCAGTCAAATTTTGTCTGTTTTCTATAAATAAGGCCACCATTATTCTGTTTAGGGGTTACGAACTTTAGAGAGAGGCATAGGGATGAGTTTTACGTTGTTTTTACGCATTGTTCTTCAAGACCCTGATATTATTTGTAAGTTCAATCTTTTTAATTAATGACAATTAATTCCATTCATCCCAATTCTGTTGATTTATCAATTATGAGTTGTGAGTAGTTTAATTAGGGATTTGGGGTTGATGAAGAGGGTTGATCATGATGTATGACTAGTTTCTTGATGAATTAATTGAATGAATGCCGTTTAATTTGTGTTTGAATAATTTAATTGATATCTCTTGTAACCTAGACTGCAGCTAGAATTACATTTGCTTGTAGAATAAATTAAAAGAGATCTAGTTTATTTTAGGACACATTCACACACACTTAACCGTTCGCTAAGATATTTGTAGCGATTAAGGGGCCGTAAGATCGTTCGTCTTGGCAATAATTTAGTACCCTGTCGCATCAAGCATGGTCCCCTAAATTATTGTACTTTACGCCGCCAGAGCGGTAAGAACATAGTAATGATTAGCTAGGCTCAATTAGATCAATTTGATGTAATTAAGCCTGATCTGCCAGAAATCTGTCATTAATTAGAGAGAAACCAATATATTTTTATTTGTCATTCTGCATTTAATTTTCCAAACCACCAATCTTGCACCATTGCTTTTATTTTATTTTCTTTTTAATCGCTGAATTTAGTTAATTCTTATTTCCCTTTTGTCCGTCCCTGTAGAGACGATACTCGTGCTTTTACCTTACATGTCTACTATACACCAAATTACCGTGTTCAAAACCTTAGACTTTATTATGTTTAAATTTTATTTTTCGTTTCCTATTCAAATTTCACACCGGTGGGAGAGGAGCTCTATAAAGTAATCCACCTTTGCTTTCGAGAGTAAATCGCGGATAGCTCAATTGGGGATTAAAATCGAAGGCTCCAACAATTTGTTCGCCTTCTACCGCGCCTTAGGGATATGTCAGGCGTTTCAGTGCGTCAAAGGAATGGTGACAGTCGACCTTAAAACATCGAGAAAAGCAGTTTGAAACCACCACTTTCCTCATAAAATCTCCCTTTCCCACCGTCTTGTCGCTCGTTAGTTGCACGAGTACAATGTGAGTCACAAAAAGAGAGGAGTGGGAGAGATGGCGCTTTCAACTAGAGGAAAACAATGCCAAACCTCATCATTATGCTGCCGCAGATTACTTTTATTTCGATAATTAAATTAAATTATTCAACTTGCCAATTAAAAAAAACATACCGGTTGATATGCCAATTAGTTTTATTTCGTCCCAAAATAAATGTCCTGTTTTGCTTTTTAGTCCGTCCCAAAATAATTATTGTATTTCCTCTTTTGGTGATAATATGTGGCTCATATCAATTCACCTTTGTTTACTCAAATATCAACCACAACTTTTACCTTTTCAACAACTTTCTTAAAACTTGTGTTAAAACAAACAAGACATTTATTTTGGGACGAAGGGAGTAAATAGAATATATTACTACCCCGTCCCATTTTATGTGTCGCATTTGGTTTTAGCACAATTTTGAATGAAATGATTGAAAATGTAAAAATTGTGGTTGATATTTGAGTATAGTAAAGTGAAATGTTGTGAACCATATATAATTGTGGTTGAGATTTGACAAAAGACATGAGGTTCTTTAAATTGTGCTAAAAGCAAAAAAAAGTATAAAAATATTTGTTAAGATACTTGTTTCGTTGCACAAACAAATAATTTTGTTAATGATTTCTTTGAATATTTGTTAATATTTAGCATGTCTTTGTTTATAAAGATAACATATCAATTTTTTTTTGAATTAAAGTTTTTGAGACCTATAGCATTATATTCATAAGATTTTTCAGCTGCTGATCAAAATGAGTTTGTCAATGTCACGACTTAAGAAAATATTGTCAAACTCAAGCCAAGCTAGCAAAAACGGTTTTGCTATGAACAAATAGCACATAGTCTTGACAAGGAAATTTGTGATTCGTGAATAATTAGTGTCAGACTCGTTGATCCTTTGTAATGCAATATGATAAAAATTGATATATGTAAAACATGATTATGTAATTTATAGAGTTGTATCGAAGGATGAAATATTGTACTTCATTTTTTAATAGAGTAGTGTCGTATTTCAAACAACTATCGTCAAGTTATGTAGCATGACGTGTAGCATTATACAGTACAAGATCCTAGCTCGGAATCGATTGGTTATAGTATGAAATAGTGCAAGGATCAACTGGACCGAATTTTAATCCAAAATCAGAAATAGTGCAAGGATGATTAAATTCTAATTAATCTAAATTACGTTTATGCTTCAAAAGTCCTAATATTGTTATTTAGAATTGTCTCAATGGGTTGAACAGTAGACCCATAATTGAATAATCAATTACCAGTTATGGCACCCAACCTGACTCGTCCCCCCATCCATATGGCCACTATATTGTTGATTCTCTGTGGCAACACCCCTTGAGAGAATTCCTTGATTTTCCACTACATTATTTTTGTGTGTTTTTATGTTTGTATTATTCCACTAATTCTATCTGTTGCGTATATTTGTATAACATATACACTTTTATTGAAAAAGAACAGAAAGTTCCCGAAATAGGACTAATAAAACAGTTTGAAAATTCCAAAATAGGACTGTCATGTTTTTTATTCCCAAAATAGGAGTAATTACTGCCAAGTTTGGAAAATACTGCCATGTTTGAAGTCTGGTACTGCCAAAACATGACAGTAATTAGTCTTATTTTAGGAATAAAAACATGTCAGTCATATTTTGGAATTTTGAAACCTTTTTAATCCTATCTCGAGTGATATCCCAAAAAGAATAACACTTCATCTTTGCAGTTCCACATAATCGATCGGGCCACGGCCCACCATTTGGGAGAGACTAAGGTGTACTTATATCACATACGCACTTTCATTTATCCCATTTTTTATTTGTTATTTAAATCGTATATATGCACATTGTATATATGGCTTCGTACGTAATGGATTTTGTTGTTGGATATATCTTGTTTTAAAAAAATCATATGGAGTATATTTACAAGTGACAAGGCGTTTTGTTTTTTGAAATATAATTGACCAAATCTTTCCATTTTGATCACATTTTATCAAACTAATGACTCTTCTATCTAATCAAACTGATGACCAAGAGTACTACTCCTTATTTATTTTTGATGCACAAGTTCTTTTCATTTGAACTTCCACAGTCCACACTCACACACACATATTACTATATATAACGATCGTATAGGTGCAACCAGTATTCACTTCATATCTTTCGTTCATTGGGGTCACTAATAAATGTCTCTCCGGCCATTCGATCTCCGGCCCTGAATTAAGCTAGCAAGTCAGCATTAAATACAGTATATACTACCTATATATCCTAGCTAGTACGTACGTCAAATATTTGAAGCTAAATATATAGCAGAAATGAATCTCTCCGTGAATGGCGAATCGCAGGTTCCTCCCGGATTCCGGTTCCATCCGACGGAGGAGGAGCTTCTGCATTACTACTTGAGGAAGAAGGTGGCGTCGGAGAAGATTGACCTCGACGTCATTACCGACGTTGATCTCAACAAGCTTGAACCATGGGATATTCAAGGCAAGAAAATTCAAACACCATTACTAACATAAATAAAATGCACAAATAGAAATAAATGTGGATGTTTTCTTCCTCAAATATGTCAGATTCCTAACTTAGTTCTGTTTATGCATTTTGTGATTTTTGTCCATGTTTTTTAGTCCTATTTATTGCAATTGTTTTTATTAGTATTGTATATAGGGGAGGATCTCACCATATATGACCCCAAATTTTGTTGATTACATATACGCATGAAAATTAATTTGACCGGTCACGATTTTGTCCTTCATATCAACATGCATTACATTATGATTCCATCACTGATTATATATATGAATTTGCGAGCGGTCTCGTAGAAATGTGCAAAATAGGATCAGGACCGCAAAACGACTGGTACTTTTTCAGTCACAAGGACAAGAAGTACCCGACGGGAAGCAGGACGAATCGGGCAACCGCGGCGGGGTTTTGGAAGGCAACAGGGAGGGATAAGGTTATATACAGCAATGGGAAGAGAATTGGAATGAGGAAGACCTTAGTTTTCTATAAGGGGAGAGCTCCGCATGGGAAGAAGTCCGATTGGATCATGCATGAATATAGGTTGGACGAAACTCCCCGTAAACCCTCTGTAAGCTCACTCTCCACCGACTATTACTTGATTTTAATCTTCACCTCACTACACCTATCGCATGTCTTTCCAAAAATAATCTTGCATTGATTTAATGTAGTAGTCATTATTCTTTTTCATTAAATTAAGACTTATTCATTTTTAATGGAGGAAATTTATACTTCAATTTATAAGATCATTAAGGATTTATAACATACGAGTATATTCTTATGAGTACACTTTAATCAACTTTAAGTCATAGAACAATTACTCTTAACTAAATATAACACTCATACTCATGTATATCCTATTAATTTCCGGTATAAACATTACTATTTTTAGTTTACAAAGTTTTGACTGACCCAAAATAAAGTTAAATTTTGCTTGTGAGATTATTCAAAATTCACTTATGCAGCCTTAAAAGTTAAATGTTACATTAAAGATTACATATTTACAAATTTACATATCCAAGAATGATTAAAATTAGATACTTAGAATCACAAAATAAGAGAACGACTTATTAACCACTTGAATAGTAAATTAGCAGAATTTGGGACGATTAAAATATTATGAATTTCTTTGAAGTACAGAAGTATAAATAAATAAATAAATAAATAAATAAATAAATAAATAAATAAATAAATAAATAAATAAATAAATAAATAAATATTCCGTTGTAACTGTCATGTTAAGAACGTTCTTGGCCAATATAGTTCTATTTATCTTCTAATGAGTATATAGAGTATATAGACGTCGTACATACTTTGACATTCACAAATATGTCATTCACGTTTGATCGACGACGAGTTTTTCCATCACTCATAAATATGTCATCTATACGTACCGGCCATGCCTAATAAGCTGCCAAATATCTTTTGGTGTTTCTTGTTATGAATCTCGAGGAATAGAGATATTATTACCTAAAATATGAGTAGCACATTGACCAAGTCTCTAGCTAGTAAAGATGACTTAATATGAAATTTAACAAATAGATTTATGATGCTTGATTTACATTTCGGTTAAGACTTAAGAATACTAATTAGGGAAATTTCTGAAATAAGAGTAAAAATATTTGTGAATTCCAAATATGACTGCCGTTTTTTATACCCTAAATAGATGTCATGTTTTAGTAATGTGATACTTTAAATGTAGAATTGAGTTTTTTTGAAAGGGCAATTAAGATTATCGTACTAAAAAATAAATTATAGAAACCGAATTTAACAATATTAACCTTAGGCAGCGAATCAGAAAAGGGATAAGGGCCAAAAATCACATTAAGGTTTTTAATGAAGTTCAGATTAGACACTAAAGTTTTAAGTAGATCAAATTAATACAAATTTAAACCTTTTGATTCCATTTTAGCCACCCTTAACCGATCCGTTATTTTATCCCGTCCTCACCCTTTCTTCTTCGACCTTCGCCTCAACCCTCTCCACCCATAGTAACCTTCATCTCAACCCGCTCCTTTCATGTAAAAACCTTTGCTTCCTGGAGCCCAAGAGAACAAGGGCATCGGCATCCACTCATCCAGTACTTGGCAAAAGCTATTAGTGCCACCCAAGTTGATTTCCCAACCTCACTCCACTCTGGAATATAATGCCCACTTTTCCTTTTCTTACGTTCTTATTAAGTCATATTCAGGGTCTGTTTGCAACAGTTTCTGCTTTAAAAAAGTTCTTTTTAATGAAATGGAGAGAAATGATTAAATAAAAGTTGATAGTGTTTGAGAAAAAAATGATTTTGAAAAGTAAAAGTGGATAGTGTTTGGTAAAATAAGTGTTTTTTGTGTAATAGAAAAAGTAAAAGCACTTTTGACATGAAAGACGAGAAAAATAAAAGTTGGTAGTATTTGATAAAATAAGTGCTTTTAAGCCAAAAACCGAGAAGTGTTTTTTTAAAGCATTTGCAAACCAACCGTCAATCCAATCAGTCCAAATTCACTTCTAATAAGCCATATATATTCAGCCCAACCATATCATTATTTTCCACCAAATCAAGGAAAACCATAGCTTGACCACCAATTTCACATATTGTTGTTTCAAAATAGAATAGGCTGAGAAAATTACCCGAAGAGGGATTAACTCCCAATCTAAGCCGATGAAATGGAAATTATTTACAAACAAGAAGGAATCCAGACAGGGAATTCCTCCTCTGCCATTGTTTGTATTGCTATTTCCAATTCTGAGTGCAAGCGGCGAGTCTTGCAGGTCCGCCGTAGCCAAAAAATAGTTTTGGGCGAAGAAAAAATATATGTGGTGAGATTTGCAGGCCCGCCAGAGTCAAAACAAGCTTTTGGGCAAAGAGGGAGGATGTGTATTTGTCGGATTTGGGTTTTCAAATGTTCCGCCAGAAGAAATGGGAGCTCGAGTTACTTTAGCTTTTGGGAGAAGATGGATGTTATTGGATGGTAACCTCATAATTGATGGAAGAAAAACCACTGGTGTCCAAATATGATGCAAAAACCTATAGTCTGTGTGATTTTGGTCTACTTCGAAGTTTAGTGGCTAATATGAGTTTTTCGAAAAACCTTAATACGAAATATCATTTTTGAGCATTCTCAAAATAATCAAAATAGTACCTAGCATAAAGTTGGTAATCCTTTAAAAAAGCAAAAAGTTGGTACTAAAAGTTTTCCTTTAAAAAAAAAAGAGTACGAAAAGTATGTCGTCTCTGGTCAACGAAAAAATCCGTTACAGATTATACCGTTTTTTTAATTTGGTTTACTCATAACAAAGTACAAAGTATTTATTATTTTATTGTTCCAGCAGGGCTCAAGTTTGACTGGAGAAACGTTGACCAGTGAAGAGGGTTGGGTGGTTTGCCGAGTTTTCAAGAAGAAGAACTATCACAAGGCTGTTGAAAGCCCTCGTCTTGCCGGCTTTGACCAAGTCCATCCTGGAAACGACGTCGTCGTTCTTGATCAGATTCTCACCTACATGGGAAAATCCTCAATCCAAAACACGACCAAAATTAGCAATAACGGCAGTAAAAATAAAAAGCTTTTAATGAACGGCTACGATGGAAGTAAGGAATTCACCAGCGCAATCCCGGCCGCTCGTTTCCTACACCTTCCGGCTCTCGAAACCCAATCCCCCAAGGAGATCATCTCACCTTTCTTGAGTCAACCATTATTTGAAGACCTTTTGACCGAGACTGAACCGGCCGAGGATTTCAAGCTGGCCGCCGGTCCGACCGGTTGGGCGGCTCTCGACCGCCTGGTGGCTTCTCAGCTCGACGGCGGCCAAGTCGAAGTATCTAATAAGAGCTTTGCCGCCGCAGGTGAACTTAGCGACAGCTTGTATTTTCCGGCCGCGGATCACCGGCTGTTCGGTAGCGGAAATGGCGTTGACTTTTGGAGCTACACCCACTCCTCATCATCACCGTGTGATCCTTTGTCACATTTGTCCGTATAAACAGGCGTATATCCAGCCATATATAGATACATATATACGTATATAATACATATACATACATACATGCATAATTATGGGAAGGAACATTAATCTCAATTACCGGTGGGCGTAGCTCAACTGGTAGCAAGGGAGTGCCACAAGGGTTAGGTCTCGGGTTCGAATCCCGGCAACTGCGATGAGGGGTTATTATGCTGAAAAATGCATAGGGCCTCTGCAAGTACCGGGGACAGAGCCCCACTCTCTATCTGTCAGATTGTGATTATAGTCCAATTTACATCCTCCCATCGTGCCGTCCGGTCGGTGGTGGGGGGCCCTCAGGGATGGGGTGTCATCTTTTTTTTTTTTTTTGGAACATTAATCTCAATTACTAAGATAGTATTACTATCGTTGGCTATACTCCGTATTTACTAGTTACTACTGAGTACGGAGTACGGGAGTATAATAATAGGAGTACATATATAGCTTTTGTAGTCAAACGAAGTGTTTTGAAATTATATAAAGAAGTGAAATCATACTTTACTATACAAATAATACAAATCAAATAGGATTTGAATGAAATGAATATCTTTAATTTGGTTCTTGTCTCGTCTTCATAATGACTAATTATGATCCCTGTGTTCTATCATTATCGTAAATTGCGTAGTTAGTAAATTTATTACAGGAACGTAACAAGATCTAAAAGACTCAAACATCAAAATATATCTACCTACTTTACTTTTTAGAAATATGACGCCAGATATCAAGTGATTTTTTTTTGTTTTTCAAAAATTATGATTATTCTTTTGTTTAATTGATCCAATCTTTTTCATTGTAATTTATATCCAAACTCTGCCCCTCCATCCTCCCCACACCAGCTGCTCTGCTGCCCGAAGCCGTCCCCAAAAGTTATCCGAAGATTTTGATAATTTATTACGTAGTACTTCCTCCGTTCTTTAATTCTTACAATATTGTGATATTTGCATTATTCACAAATCTTATTTTGACCACGATTTTCAACTAATATACATATCAAATTATTACATACTGTATTAAATGTTATTGAATTCCTATCAATATAATGTGTATTTCCAAAATATCAACTTTTTATAATGTTTATTAATACATAATTAAATACTCCCTAAAACATGAATGCACAGTTTTCATGCAAATGTGAAGATGATTATATATTTATAACATTTGTTTATGAAAAAGATAAAACAAAATCGGAGTATTATATACTCCGTAATTAATACTCCGTAAGTGTTTGGAAGTGTTAACTACCTTCGTGGCCAACAACTCAATGTGTCACCTTTTTAACAACTCATATTGGAGTTTATTATTGAAGTTTTGAGCAATTCTCCCTACCATCCATCATGTGAAGTACGTAAGTTGACATATATGCAATTTTTCCTGTTTATTTTGCTAGCGCGCAAAGTGTCCCCACACAAGTCATTATCTAAGAACACACAACATTATATTAAAATTAGAAATTGCCCTAAATAGGAGTAAAAATGTTTTGAAATTCCAAAATAGGAGTATCATGTTTTTTATTCCCTGAATAGGAGTAATCTGCCAAGTTTGGAAGAAAATGTCATGTTTAAAGCCTTGTAATCCCCAAACTTGGCAGAAATTTACTTCTATTTAGGGAATAAAAAACATGATACTCTTATTTTGGAATTTCAAACTGTTTTTACTCCTATTTAGGGAATTCTCTCTATTAAAATTCATTCAGATTCTAGAATGTAGCTTTCAGCCTCGATGTATATCAAATCAAATTGGTACTGGGCGTTTGATTATAATATCGTTTCATTCATTCTTTTTTGGGAAAACTGTCAAATAGGTCCTCGAACTTTCATAAAAAAGTCAATTAAGTCCTTTTATAAGAGACTCTGTTCGGTCGTCGCGATTTGGGGTGATTCCCGGTGGAATTTTTTGATAAATTTTTTTGAGCATCTTATTCATCAAGTCTAGTTTACTCATACCAAATTTCAGCTAAAAATTTAATCGGGAGCGCATTCAAATTAATTCGAGAACACAAAAAAGCGCAGTTATCTTCAATAATTAATTTGAATGTGTTCCCGATTGAATTTTTAGCTGAAATTTGGCATGAGTAAACTAGACTTGGTGAATAAGATGCTCAAAAAATTCCACCGGGAACTGCCCCAAATCGTGACGGCTGGACAGAACCTCCTATAGAAGGACTTAATTAACCTTTTTATGAAAGTTCGAAGACCTATTTGACAATTTTCCCTTCTTTTTTGGCAAACACTATCGTTTCATTCTTAAAAAATAGTGTATGGATTTGTTTGATAAATTTAAGTGAAAACACTTCCATGATAGACTTCGTTCATTAAAACTCTTCCAAATATTGTAAATTTATACTTCGTACTTTGTACCTACACTTATTTTCCCTTACTCAATCGTATATATACTTACTATGACATTACATATCTATTATTAACACATTCAATACTCCACCCAAACACACACAGAACGATAATATTATCAATTCGTTCATTAATTTATTAATATTTATATAACGTAAAATTGCATAATTGAAACTAGGTAAATCGGTCAAAAATATGAGAGAATAACAGGGGCGGAGCCAGGATTTGACGATGGGGGATGAGCTCAAGCAATAAAATGTACTCCGAAAATTTCTAGAACAATATCGAATAGTTGACTTATTTGAATACTTCGAGAGTTCGAGATTTTATAGAACGATATCACAAAACTACTCTATATATCAGTATTTAAGATTAATTATAGTTAGATGCTCATTCTTTCAAAATTATACTATTATGATATGTTGCGCAATGATTAGGAAAGGAAAACAAATGCCAAAAATGATACTTTTGTGTTTCATTTTGTATCACGCAATTAAAAACAAATTAAGCATATGATATACTCCGTATAATTTTAATATTGTTTGCATATATTAGATATATTACTCTCCCATATAATTATCCAAATAGTCATATAATTAAGATGAATTTTATCATATGTCAAAGACGATCAATTTATTAGATTCCGTAAAAAAATACGAAAATATCTCACAAATTTATAGAATCACATTATTTTTTTCCATATATAATCTGAGCTCGAAACAAATCCTTATAGATGATTTTTTTTAATCTATTTAAAAATGGCTAAAGTAATAAAGCTAAAATCATATACTCCGTATCTATCAATTACAATCATAATAATATATACTATGTTACACTTTTATCAATTCCAATCATAATAATATAATATTATAGCTAATGATCCGGTCAGGAGCTCCTGACCGGAACCGCCGTCCGGACCAAGGCGTTTGGCCGCCTTCCCGGTGGCTTTTTTTGATGAAATTTTTATGGGATGTTCTCCATCAAGTCTAGTTTATCCACAAAAAAATTCAGCCAAAAACTCAATCGGGAAGGTCGTCAAATGATTTTTGCAAGTTAACTGGTCCGGAAAATACATATTCCGGACCAGTTAACTTGAAAAAATCATTTGACGACCTTCCCGATTGAGTTTTTAGCTGATTTTTTTTGTGGATAAACTAGACTTGATGGAGAACATGCCATAAAAATTTCATCAAAAAATTCCACCGGGAAGGCGGCCAAACGCCGCGGTCCGTACGGCGGTTCCTGTCCGGACGTCCGGACAGGAATATTTCTCTAGCTAACCATATATATAATTAAATCAGTTAAGTACTTAAAAATTACAAATGAAAAGAAAAACTTGAAACCCATCACAATTTCATAAACGAACTAAAAGAGCATATATATAAATAGGCAGATTATGACTACTGGAATATCCTTCACATACTCCTTAAATACTGATCTAATAGACTAATACTACGGAGTAATATATAATAGTATTATAAAATAAAAAAGTTGGGAGGGGCAATGGCCCCCCTAACCTTATTGCTACCTCCGCGGCTCTGCCCCTGGAGAATAATAAAGCTTTTATATTGTCCGTATAAAACATGTGTGTTAGAATCCTTTTGTAAACTGATTTTATAAATAATAAAGGAGTGTTTGCAACTGCTTCTGCTTAAAAAAACACTTTTGGTGACGTAAGAAAAAAATGATTAGTAATAAAAGTTGATAGTGTTTGAAAAAAAATGATTTTGAAATGTAAAAGTTGGTAGTATCTGGTAAAATAAGTGTTTTTTGTGTAATGTAAAAGAAAAAAACATTTTTCACACGCAACAACCCGAGAAAAAGTAAAAATTGGTAGTGTTTTTGTAAATTAAGTATTTTTTAATTTAAAAGTTGAGAAGTGTTTTTTTAAATTGTTGCAAACACTCCCTAAGTGGAGAAAGGAAGATTGTTTGACCAATGAATATCAATTTAAAATGGGAAGGGGAGAAGGTAGTTAGTAGTATCGCTTAGTTAGCCTAACTGCCTAACCACGTGACTGAATTATGCTCATCGATCAGAATGCACGTTAAATCGACTATGACAAGTGCCCTACACCTAAAAGGCTAAAAGATATTAACTCCATCCCACTAAGATTGAGACATGAGATGAGAAGGTGATACGGTTATTAAGAAAAGTAAGTTTGTGTGGTTGATATTAAATTGATAAAGTGAGAATAAAGTAAGTATGATTTAGAGACACACAAACTTTACCAAATTTGGTATGGGACAATCTTAGTGAGACTTCCCGAAATGGTAAAATAGGACAATCTTAGTGGGACAGAGGAAGAAGTACGAGCCACAGTTGAAACAAAACAAAACATGGATGGACTGTTTTCATGCGCAAGTAAAGTTGATTATCCTCCGTCTCTTTTTAATCGCAACATGTTGAATTTTACACTATTCACATGTTCTACTTTGACTACATTTTATACTATTATTTTATGAAAATTATTATTTTTTAATTATATTTTTCAATTCATCTCATTACAAATTTTCAAAATCTAATTTTTAAATATTTTTTACTAATAGGGATTAAGATATAATTACGGTCAAAGATGTGCGTTGGCAAGTGTGAAATGTTGACCGTTGCAACTAAAAAAGAACGGAGGAAGTATATATTTATACTACCTCCATCCCTTAAAACTAGGGGGATCCAGGGTTCTGACATGCTCTGGGCTAAATATGAATTATACTAGGCTTAAATATTGGAGGGGTGAGCTAGATGTGAAAAAAAGAATAAAATTACACTAAAAAAATTAAAAATTTCTCAATTGCCCTAGGCTTCAGCCTACCAAAGCCCGTACATAGATCCTCCCCTGCTTAAAACTTTGTCAAGTTTGACCAGCACGAGAATTAATAAAGTTAAAACTATGTGATTGAGGTTTGTGCAGAGGAGAGAGAATTAACAGGAACCACAAATTCTTTACTTAAAAGGGAAAGTGGCAAAGTTAATGAGACATCCAAAAAAGTAAAGTTGGCAAAGTTTTAAGGGACGGAGGGGGGGGGGGGTATGTTTTAAAATTTGTTGGAATACGGTAATTAAGTTTGTCGAAACAATTTATGGAACACATATGATCAGTGGAGGACTAAGGATGTTTTTACTTGAACTGAAAGTTGTTGGTCTAGTATGTGTAATCTGGTCCGAACTGATTTGATCAAGTCTAATAAATGTCTGGTCTCTGTGTATTTTATAACTATGGAAGTCTGGTCTGGTCTGAAAGTCTGATCAGTCTAATATGATCTGTTTAAGTTTGGTTTGGTACTAAAAATTGTCCAAGTTAAAACAACCTTAGGGGAACTTGGAGCAAGTGCCCCGCTTCCGACACCGAAGTTTGGTGTGAGTTCTTATGAACTGAAAAACTAGTACCTCCCCTATTTGGATAAAAAAAAATATACGTAGTGACTATTAGATATGATAATAATTCTCCTAAAGAGCATATAAAAATTGTCATAAGACATTTAAACGGGTATGGAGTTATGATGGAGCAATTTCATGCAGTTAGACATGATATTGCCATATATCTTCGTGGTGAAGGATATGGAGACTAATATGTGTGATGAGATTAATGGATTGAAAACTATTAAATGTTACGGAGTACTTATTTGGTGACCAAGTTTTAAAACGTGACAAATTTGTAGTTAAGGATATGAATTCTCTTATATATGGAGTTATATGAACACACATGTACATTTGACTTGCTTTAAATTGAATGGTTATAGATGTTGTGTCCACTACTTATGCTATACTCCGTATGTGACTCTCTATATAAGGTAGTCATATGGATGAGACTCAATAAAGCATCTCGTAAGTTTGTGGATTTAGGATGTTTTTTTATCTGATCTGATCTAGTTTGGCTTGATCTGAAATGATTTGTTAAAGTAGATATCCAACTTACATGTTTTATATAATTGTCGAAATTTAATAATCAGGTATGATATTGTCTGATCTGATATGATAATTTAATAATCAGGTATGATATTGTCTGATCTGATATGATCTGTTTCAGCCTCATACTCCAATCAGAGGCCGAAACCAGTCGAACTAAAACCATAAGAATCGTTAGATTAATATAATTACTAAAGGAGATATCCAAAATATACAAAAAGAAACCAATGTAACTCCATCCCCAAAAGTCCCCAAGAAAGGCCAGGCAGCTACTGTGAGCATGTAAATTGAGTTTTGATCGTAGAGTGGTTCAGAAAGTATGCGGTCCAAGTCCAAGTCCTGCTTGGAATCGAATCCGAGACCTCTCTATTGTGACACCTCTTCCTATAAGTTGAGCTATGTCCGGCTAAACATGATCACATACGGTGTGTTTGATTATTTGTCTATCGGCCATTTTTGGCTTTTTGAGTTGGCTTTGACTGTTTGCCTATATCAAATAGCTATTTTTAGTGTTTGATAAACGGCTTTCATTTGCTAATTGAAGCGAAAAATTAAAAATGAAAAAGCAACCAAGAGTAGCGTTTCACAAGCTTATTTTTATTTATTTTAAAAGCCTAATTTATATACTGTTCAATTTTGCCTTATTATTAAATCTTTTTAATTATTAGTCACAGCTAATAATAAATTGTAATAATAATGATAAAAAATATCACTATAAATATTATTGGTATTTTATACGTAGAATTATTATAAAAACGTAGTAGCATATTTATATGTTAAAAATAAAAGAAATATATGTGTGCAGTCATACGTGTTTATATAAACTAGAAATAACAATACCAGTAATCATATGCTATGTAAAATATTGGTAAATGTAATTTTAAAACTTTAATAGTTATCAAAAACAAGTTGATTTTTTTACAGTAAAAAAAGTTGAGTTAAATAAATAAAAATGTATATATACTTTTTTTTCATCATACCAGCTAATCATGAATAATTAAATTTCCGATCATTTTATTTCAATCCGTTAACCACAGCGCGCGACTAATCAAAACAGCTATTATAAATTTTATAAGGTAGATTCTACGGTATCCATAAGATACCAACCTTTGTACACATAGACCAATGAGAATGTTGCAGTTGAATTATTTAAATCTAAATTGAAAATGATAAAGTGATGTGGTCCAATCAAATGAATAGTAAGTACGGTACCCAATTTTTTTAAAAGGTACCGAAGTTGTCACCATTTTATAATCCATTGATATCAAACATATGAATATATGATACCATCAACTATTAGTTAACAACCAAACCCATCGCCGGATTATTGGTGAAAGACGTGATGATAATATATTCAACCACACTTGAGGTACTCACTTTGCATACACAGTTATACACACTCGTGTCTGTGAAGAGTTACTTTTTGTCTGTATACAGACATAACGTAACTCTTCACAGACACGAGTGTGTATAAGTGTGTATGCAAAGTGTGTAACAATAGCAGTTTTGTAATATATTACTCCCTCCGTGCCGAAAAGATTGACCAACTTTGACTTTCACATAGATTAATAAAGTAAAAATTGTGTGGTTGAAATTTGTGCAGAGGGGAGAGAATTAACTTGAACCACATATTTTTTACTTTAAATGGAACTGACAAATCTTTTTGGGACATCCATAAAAGGAAATTTGGCCAACCTTTTCGGGACGGAGGGACTATGCAACATGGCAAGCAATCAAACAGAATTGCTATGTGAGCACCCTACTAGCTAGGTGAACCTGGAAATTGGCGTGTAGTTGCTAAATTGTACTACCTCCGTCCCAAATTGAGTTGCAAATTTGACTTTTCTTGGTCAAACAGTCTCGTTTTGTTCACTTAATTAGGACGTCAATTTTTAAATATAATCTAATTTCGAGTTTAGAACTTTGAAGAGATTTTCATGTAGTTTTTGAATATGTAAATTTTAATGATTAAAAATTCACTACAAAAAAGTGCACATAGACTGCACATGGACCACGATTTTTTTTTGCGATGGCAGCATAACTGTTGTTAAAAACACCATTAACCACACATTTTTTTGTTTACCACACACAAAAATGTGGTAAAAGCTTAGAGACGACAGCTTTTAACTGTGGCCAATGTTTTTACCACAGCTGTTGTGCCGACGCACGTAAAACTGTCGCAAAACTGTCGTAAAAACGTAAGGAGGAACATTTACGACAGTTTTGCGTCAGTTTTACGTGCGTCGCCACAACAACCGTGGTAAAAACATTGGCCACGGTTAAAAACTGTCGTCTCTGACCTTTTACCACAGTTTTGTATGTGGTACATAAAAAAATGTGTGGTTAATGGTGTTTTTAACGACAGTTATGCGGGCATCGCAAAAAAAAATTGGTCTATGTGCGGTCTATGTGCACTTTTCTTGTAGTGATTGAATTAATTATCCATAAGGAGAGTTGACTTTTATTATTGGTTGACCAAAAAATGTTGACTTTGCAAAACAAATTGGGACGGAGGGAGTATGATTTTTTTCCGCAAAGCTTCCTAATCTATTATATAAAATATTTTTTTTTTGATCGAAATTTATAATATTTGTTATATGTATGTTAAGATCAACATCTTTTAGTTGGCATGTGATTTGAATTTGTGACATCCTCTTTGAAATATCACAGTGATACCATTAGATCATAAGGTACTTGACAAATTAAATCGATTTGGAAAACCCAATTCAGAACCGGTATAACAAGGTTGACCTGCTAACACATACCCGGTTTTAAATATTATGTAGGGAAAATGGAAACTAATAATCCAACCTTTTAGCGGTCTTCTTCCAACAGTCCCACCTTTTCGTTATTCATGAATAATCCAACTTTTGCACCTCATCTTCATTCACTAGTCCCTGACCGGTTGATGACCTGCTATTCTAAGTTATTTTCTTATCTTTGCAAACCATTATACCAAAAATCTCACCTTAGTATTTTGCAAAGATAAGAAAATAACTTGGAGTAGCAGGTCATTAACTGGTCACGGACCAGCGAATGAAGATGGGGTGCAAAGGTTGGATTATTCTTGAATAACTAAAAGGTGGGACTATTGTAAAAAGACTGTTAAAAGGTTGGATTATTAGTTTCCATTTTCCCTATTATTTATACTAGTATACTGTAATTAAGCCGATCTGATATAAGAAAATTATACTCCTAACTCCTAGTTAACGTCATAGAAGATATTATTGCGGTATATAGTTTGTTTAAATCTAGTTAGCCAAGTTTGTTTAAAAAACGGCGGACGTCTCTAGGGTTGTCCCTAGCTTGAGTTTACCGGCAGCGGAGGCTTTTCAGCCCATCTGTCCGGAGTCGGAGAGTTAGATTGGAGGGAGATTGCAGGCGGTGGTGCGGCTCGTCTTCGGCCATCATCTGCAGAATCAACAAGTCCGACCTCCGTGGATGGTTTTTTGGCTTTTTCGATCTTGAGGGCTCTGCTTTTTGAGATTTGCTCTGGAGTTTTCCTTCTGCTTCGAGACTGGGGTTTAGCGGGAGGGTCCAGGGAGATGAGTATACTCAGTTGGAACTGTAGGGGGCTAAACAACCCGGCAACGATCCAATGCCTGTCTGACCTCGTCAGTCTATATCGGCCGCTGATAGTCTTTCTCATGGAGACGAAGGTCCGGTGCTTGCGTGCAAAGGAGATACTACGCTCAAAGGGCTTCACCAATTCGGAGGGGACGGATAGTGCTGGCCGGAGTGGAGGATTAATCATGGCATGGAATGATGAAGTTGAGATGGAGGTCAAGGATAACAACCCCAATTTTATCGACGGAAGAGTTGTTTTGCGGAGCAGCGCTGTTCCTTGGAGACTAACTGGCTTCTATGGCTTTCCTGAGACAGTCCGGCGTCGGGAGGCTTGGAGGATGATGGAGGGGCTGGCGGAAGGCAATGACGGTCCCTGGATGATGATTGGAGATTTTAACGACATCATGTTCGATTCAGAAAAGAAAGGTAATATTCCTCAACCTCTATGGAGGTTAAGAGGATTCCGAGAGGCAGTCAATAGCTGTGGGCTGCGGGATTTCCCTTCTTCAGGATATCAATGGACTTGGGATAATGGAAAAGATAATAATTACCGTCTGGAGCAGAAACTAGACCGTATTCTAGTAAATGATGCCTGGTGGGATTCATTTACTGGAGCTCAAGCTGTGTCAGTAGAGGCCCCGGCAAGTGATCATATGGCACTTCAGGTGCAGGTCAAACATAGGGTCCCAAATGGAAGGAGACGTTTCTTTAAGTTTGAGAACAACTGGATTAAAGAAGATGCTTGCAGAGTTGTTGTTACTAGCAGTTGGGAAGCAACTAGGCATCGGCCAATTAATGAGAGGATTGGTTTTTGTGCTACGGAACTGACTAGATGGGACAGGGGGAGGAAAAGAGGCTTTCGACATCAAATATTGACATGCAAATCCAGATTGGCCTGGCTTAGGGGGAAGGATGACCGTACTAGTGTCCGTGAGCTTATACGTGTCCGTTCGGTTTTACAGCTCTTACTTGAAAAAGAAAATCAATTCTGGAAGCAGAGGGCTAAGGAATTCTGGCTAAAGGAGGGGGACATTAATTCCCGATTTTTTCATAATGCTGTTAAACAAAGGAGGCGACAAAACAAGATGACTGGTCTGCGGCGGCCAGATGGTTCATGGCTGTCTAATCGGGAAGAACTTGGTGAGGCAGTCTTGGATTACTTTTCGGTTTTGTTCAAAGAACAAGAGAGGACACATCCACTTGCTATTCGAGGCGAATTCCGACAGGTGTCGGCAGAACAGAACGAGTTACTCTTAAGGGCTATCAGTCCGGAGGAGGTTAGGCGGGCTGTTTTTGATATGCACCCAGAAAAGGCTCCAGGCTCAGATGGAATGAACCCCGCTTTTTTTCAGGCTTACTGGGAGGTGATTGGACCGGATATATCTGCCTTATGTGCGTCGATGTTTGAGACAGGTAATCTGGCAGATCATGTTAATACTACTAATATTGTGTTAATTCCTAAAGTGGAGAAACCAGAAAATATGGGGGACTGGAGACCAATTGCACTTTGCAATGTGGTCTATAAAATTTTTTCTAAAATTCTGGCAAATAGACTCAAAGGCATATTGGATATTTTAGTCGGGGAATGTCAGAGTGCTTTTGTACCAGGAAGGTCTATTATTGATAATATAATTGTGGCTTTCGAGACAAATCATTTTCTGAGAAGGAAGACGAGCGGAAAAGAGGGCTTTGTGGCGCTCAAACTTGACATGAGTAAAGCGTATGACAGGGTGAGCTGGACCTTTCTTGAGAATATTTTAACCAAGATGGGTTTTAATGTTCGCTGGATTCAGATGGTTATGGAATGTGTTAAGACTGTTAAGTATTATGTCCAGTTTGATGGGGATTTATTGGGACCTATTGTGCCAGGTCGAGGGTTACGTCAAGGGGACCCTTTGTCTCCTTATTTGTTTATTCTAGTGGCGGAGGGGTTGAGTGCTCTTTTTAGTAGGGCTGAACGCAGGGGGGACCTACATGGGGTGGCGGTTTGCAGGGGGGCACCCAGGGTTTCTCATCTATTTTTTGCAGATGACAGTTTCTTGTTTTTCAAGGCATCCGGCCCAGAATGTGAGGTGGTTAAGCATATTTTGGCAGAGTATGAGGAGGCATCAGGGCAGGAGATCAATTTTCGAAAGTCCTCGGTCACGTTCAGCCAAAATGTGGCCGAGACTTTTAGAAGTTATTGCTGCAATTTTTTTGGCGTTCCACAGGAAGGTAGTCAGCAAAAGTATCTGGGGCTACCAAGTCTGGTGGGGCGGAATAAAACGGCTATTTTGGGCTTCATTCGAGACCGGATTTTTCACCGGATTAAGAGCTGGAACAACCGATTCCTCTCCAGAGCAGGGAGGGCTGTGCTTTTAAGGAATGTGGTCCAGGCAATGCCCACATATGCTATGAATGTTTTTTTGTTTCCCCTTAATTTATGTGATGAGATTGAAAAACTGATGAATGGTTTTTGGTGGAAGGGTACGAAATTTGAGCAGAGAGGGATCAGGTGGCGGAGATGGGAACTTCTCTGTAAACCAAAAAGTATGGGAGGTTTGGGTTTCAGAAAGATCAGGGAATTTAATTTAGCTATGCTCGCCAAACAAGGCTGGAGACTGATTACCAACCCAGATAGCTTGATGAGTCGGGTGCTTAAAGCTAGATATTACCCTAAAACCAATTTCCTGCATGCAAATCTTGGGAACAATCCTTCTTATGTTTGGAGGAGTATATTTGAATCTCAAAGCATCCTTAGAGAAAATGTCAGAAGACGGGCAGGCAATGGGAGAGATATCCAGGTGTGGGGTGATGCTTGGCTACCAGGGCAGGGGGATGGAAAGATTAAATCTCCAAAACCTGTGGGGATAGCTGATATGAACGTAGCGGCACTGAGGGATAATTCAGGGAAGAGCTGGAACAAAGAAAGGATAGCAAACATATTTACTGAAGAAGACCAGAGAGCTATTTGCAGTATCCCGATTAGCCTTACGGACAGAGAGGATGGTTTCTGGTGGAGTAAAGAGAACAGTGGCCTCTTTACAGTGAAGAGTTGCTACAAAACATTTATGCAGAGCGACGATCCAGGTGGCTGGGATGGGTGGAAATTTCTGTGGGACTTAAAAATCCCGCCAAAGGTAAAATATTTTATATGGCAGGTACTAGATGGATCCTTACCATCATCGGACAACTTGGAGAGGAGGGGGGTTCCTATCCCGAGGCAGTGTAAGATATGCAACCAAGCTGATGAGTCTACGGAGCATGCACTGATGACATGTCCGAAGGCAGTGGAGGTATGGGAGGCGGCGGGGATGACACTCGGCGACGGGGAGGTGACATTTAAGGTATGGCTTCAACAATATCTTTCATGTGCAGATAAAAGTTTGAGCTCCAAAGTGGCGATGATCACATGGGGTTTGTGGAAGAGACGAAACACTCTGGTTTGGGAGAATGAGATGCAAGATTCGGCCAATCTACTGAATGGGTGTGCAAGTATGCTACAAGCTTAGCGAGAAGCTCAAGGAGAGGTGAAAGTGGCAGGCAACAGGAGTGGGAAGGGGAATCCGGGGTGGAGCAAACCGAAGCCGGGCTTTTTAAAAATAAATGTCGACGCCGCAACAGATGTGAGTAGGGGGAGAAGAGCTTGGGGATGGGTGGTAAGGGATGAACAAGGCACGTTTATTAAAGGCGGGGGTGGATCAAAAACGGCTGACTGGAGCCCAGCGAAGGCTGAAGCTATGGGGATAAGGGAGGCTTGTCAGGCAGCACTTCAGGAAGGCTGGGAGTACATCGAGTTGGAGTCTGATGCCCAGACAGTCATACGCGGCATTAAGGGAGGGGGGGGTTCAGCATACATGGATCTTATTATTGATGATATACGGAATATTTTGAGTACTAAGAGCAACTTTCATGTCTCTTATTGTCCACGATCTGCGAATCGTGTTGCTCATAAGCTTGCTAGAGCACATGTTTCCATCTCAGATCATAGTTGTAGTTATGATACCAGGCCAGGTTGTATTGAAAGCCATTTGGCGAACGATCTTTTGATTTAATAAAGTGGTTAGTCTCGGTTTCAAAAAAAAAAAAAAAAAAGTTAACGTCATAGAAGATAAGAATTATTTTACTATGATTACACAAAGACAATTATGCATAAATTAGTTAAATTTTTTATATTAAGAACGCATTTGATAAGCCTTATTTTCAGCATGTCACTTTTATGAGTTAATTTTATTAAATAGATAACTTTTGAATGTGTGTTGAACGGTACCTCTTCCGTCCCGCTAAGATTAATTGTCCCATTTTTCTTTTTGGGTCCTGTCCCACTAAGATTATCTCATATAAAATTTAATAAAATTTATGTGACTCTAAATCATTCTTGCTTTATCAATTCATTATCAATCGAATAAAATAACTTTTTTATAACTGCATCTCCTTTTCATGTGTCAATGCTAGTCGAGGGAGGTAGTACAATAATAAAAACAAGTAAGCCTGAACTTACTTTACAATCTGAATTGGTTGAAATTGTTAAATAAGACCACTTTACTCATGTCTATATATAATTTTCTCTTCATTTTATTAAAAAAATATGTTTTAAATATAAATTTTTCATAAGTTCAATAAACTCGGTCGATTAGCGGTGAAACAATGTTTTTTTATTCTTATTGATATTGATAGGGCTGTATTGAGAAGGTTATTTAGGCGCTGTATCCCGTCACTAGGCTTAACAGTTTGTCCGCTTGTCCAAAATACATTCTAAAAGTGGAAAGATACAATTTGGTTGGGTTGGACCCACAAGGTGGAGAAAAATATAGAAAACCCAAAAAAACTTTGATGAGATATAACTTCATTCATGATTTGGTTGGTAGCATCACCAAAATGTAAGTAGCTGATGAAAGGGATAGTAGTGCTAACAACGAAAAAGATGAGCAGCATTGCAAATTTTAGGTTAGCAAGGTAAACCAGTTGCTGTTACGTTTTTGTATGGAGGATGCAAATGGCGCACCCGTGAAGGCGTGAATCCGTTGTTAAAACCTCAATATACTGCAGTCGGTAGGTACAGCAATGGGGTGGGCATGAGTGGCGGACCCAAAAGTTTTCAGAATCGAGGCGCGGTCACATGGAGGAACATGTCGGACCAGGTCAGGTTTTGCGCTGGTCTATTCTATCTAGTTCATGATTTATATACCGCAAATAGACGTGTTAGTGTCAGTTTCGGAGGGATGCACATTTATAAATTATACTATGTCTGATTTTCAACCTATTAAGACATTTCTAAACAATATTATTCAGTATTTTCAAAAGAAAAATACAATTTGGATTAGAACTATAGAACCGAATCACTTCAACACCGCTTTTAATTTTGGATTACACTTCTCGTTACTTTTCACACTTTATCTGGTCGTCATAATTTCAGTTTGGAACAAGAATTGTGTCCAACTTAGGGTGGACATTTCAAACAAACAAACTAAGAAACTCAATAAACAATTAAACCGAACTGGAAAAATGTAAACCGACATAAATCAGACTTTATCGTCATCCGAAATTCGGTTTAGAATTGGTTTGGGAGACTAAAAAATCGGTTCAAACAGAACCAACCAATTTTTATGATTGATATCCACAGTATTGTTTTACTTTTACATATACAATCACCCAGCGGCAGACGCAGAAATTCTCGATAGGAGGAACAGGAGTGTGAAATAATACGTACAAATACATGCATACATATTAAAATTTTGGGTAAATGTACGTACCTAGTAGAAGGGGGGGGGGGCATCACCCCTTTCGGTCCGCCGCTGCTACCGCCAGGTCCGCCACGACTGCATGGTTGACCATCACTATTTAAACTTGGGACTTTTAGAATTTTGATTGATTAGGAATTTTAGAAATTTGATTACAACACTATTCATTAAGGTCTTAATAAAAAATTAGATGTCAATGATAAATTTTGCTATAATAAAAAGATGTCAATGATTTTTTTAATGTAGTAGTTTTATATTTAATCACAATAGGAGAATAAACAAATAATCATCAAATTATTTTAAATGTTCTAAATGTTTAAGGAGTTAGGTGATAACATGATAGAATGATGTGTCCAAATAAAGAAAATATTAAAATGCTTAGGCATTTATCTTATGAAATATTCATATATTAAAGTAGATGTACTTTTTTTTTTGAAGAAAAGTAAATGCACTTAAACTCAAAATAGACCTTAATCACATGTGCTCATTTATGTTTTTTTTTACATTCAGTACAAAAATTGATTATTTGATTATGAACTCTCCACCTACTATATTCTTTCTTTAGTCAATCTCATTTTTTTTACTCTCTTTCTTTTTGTTTATTCTCCACCTACAAAAATTGATTCTTTGATCATGAACTCTCCACCTTAATCACTTGTTTGTCATATTCCACTCAGAAGGGTTGCATTATACTCCCTCCGTCCCGCTATGATTGTCCCATTTTACCTTTTCGGTCCGTTCTACAAAAATTGTCTCATACCTTATTTGGTAAAGTTTGTGTGGTTCTAAATCATTCCTACTTTATTCTTACTTTATCAATTCAACATCAACCACATAAATCTACTTTTATTAATAACCATGTCACTATCTTTTGTCCCAAACTTAGGGGGACAGAGGTAGTAATAGAGTTTTGTGTAACAATACAAAATACTCCTACTAAATTAAATGTTTATATGTGAAAAGTAGGAGAGGTTTCTAGTGGTAATTATAGGGGATGTTTGAATCTACTTTTTAAAACTGGTTGAAAAAGCAGAAGCACGCATTAGAGTGTCTGGGTCAAAGTACATAAATACTAGTGAGTACTCCAAATGGGTCCTACAAGCAGTTTTCTAGCAGTTGGAGATACCACTGCACCTTTTGAAAAATTGATCCAGCTTATGCTTTAAAAAAGAGAAAACAATCAAATAGGCCAACGTAATATATTAGAAATGTCAACTAAGCCCCCAAATAAAAATAACACCCAATTAAGTCTACAAACTTTACAAAAACAGCCAAATTTCTAATTTAGCAGGTCAACATCCGGTTTCCTGGTGAGTTTTTTACATAGATATCACCAATAGTGTGTAAGTTTACAAAAATGTGACTATCTATTCACACACTACAAATACCCACATTAGTTTTAGTAATGCAAGTAGGCAGTTAGTAACCTCCCTTTAACATGTAGTCATATTTTTGTTAGTGGGTTTTGAAGTAGTACTACGTAATATTTGTGTAATTTTTTCTCCCTCCGGATCACATGAGTGACGTAGCGATCCACTGTTATTTTTATAGTTTTTTTTATTCTTTTTATTTTTCTTTTCCATTTTTTCTTTTATCTTCTCCTACTTTCTTCTTCCATCTCCTCTAGCTACCCGACCCCTGCGCTTCTCTTCTACCCCCCCCCCCCCTTTCTGTTTTTCCATTCTCCCCCCTTTTGCTCCTTCTTCTACGCCACTGTGCTCCTGTCACTTTCTTTGTCCTTCTTCCATGTGAGGAACTCTGCCACTCTGGTGTGGAGGGTGGGCGGCAGCTATGGCGGTGGAGCTCTGCAGCTCCTGCGTTGATGTCGTTGGACGTTGGTGACGGGAATTAGCTCTAAAAGGTGACCAAGGTCTGTGGAAACTACGGCGGAAGTCCGACGCCCACCTCCGTCGTCGAACATAATTAGAGGGGACGACTTGAATTCCTGGAGAACCCCTTTGGCGCCCACCTCCAATCCATTGAACCCCTCTGGTGAAAGTAACAAGGTCGAATCAATGGAAGAATAAAGAAGAAGGGTAAGAGAAAAGAAATGACCGGCGGAAGAAAAAGTATGAAGAAAGTGGGGGTCTGAGAGATAGGAAGAGAAATGTCTCGCAGAAGAAAAAGGTAGAAGAAATAAAGAAAGTAGCGAGAGGAGAGGAGAGGAAAAGAGAAAAAGAGAAGAAAAAAATGGAAAGTTTAAAAATAAATATCTGGACTGCCACATCATCATCATAACCCGGTAACCGGACTTTGACCCATTAAATTAGAAATTTGATTGTTTTTCTAAAGTTAGAGGACTTGATTGGGTGTTTTTTATTTCAAGAGTTTGATTGACTTTTTTGATATACTATAAGAGCTTATATGACAGTTTTCCCTTTAAAAAAGAAGCAGAAGTAGAATCAATTTTAAACACATCCTTATTGCAATCATTGATTAATGTTCACATGTGGTCATATGCAATATTGGTGTCTTATGAAAGATAATAAAAAATTATGAATTTTGATATACTCCCTCCGTCCGGAATTGAATTACAATCTTTGACCGGTACAAGGATTAAGGAATGACAATAAATAATGCTTGCTTTTTACACTTTTGTCCTTCATCCTAAAAGTAGATGCATATAAGTTAATGAAAAAAGTAAAAATAAGGGTAAATTTGTCACTTTACTCTTATTTACATACCTAAAGTAGAAAGTAGAAAATCATTTTGGGACAACCAAAATAGGAAATTTTGCAAAACAAATTGGGACGGAGGGAGTATTTTTTATGAAAATTTAATTACATACTCCCTCCGTCCCTTATAACTTTGCCAACTTTCCATTTTTGGATGTCCCATTAACTTTGCCACTTACCCATTTAAGTAAAGAATTTGTGGTTCTAGTTAATTCTCTCACCTCTGTACAAACTTCAACCACACAGTTTTTACTTTATTAATCCCCGTGGCGGTCAAACTTGGCAAAGTTATTAGGGACGGAGGGAGTATGAATTATGTGGGTGTCCAATTTATGTCAATTTAAGAAATGGAGAGTTTTTTGTGTGTGTGGGCCGGGGGTCCAATTAATTCCAAGTAGCTAATTAACGTAATACAATTTGTCAATTCTAATCTAACTTAAATTGTAGAGTAACACCCTACAATTAATTAATATACTTGTACTAAATTTGGAAAGAGTTGTGATTGATTTTAGTTGTGTTTGATTTTATGATTCAATGTTTCTTTGTTAAAGATTCACTTACTTGTCGATTAATTGGGGCACAAACCGATTAACGAGAATAAACTAGACTCCTATATTCAAGCATATTTATCGAGTTTATTGAATGCTCAAATAAAAAATAAAGAGATATTATCCAAAATAGGACTAAAAAGTTTGAAAATTCTAAAATAGGACTTCCATGTTTTTATTCCCAAAATAGGACTAATTACTGTCATGTTTTGGCAGTACCAGACTTCAAACATGAAAGTATTTTCCAAATTTGGCAGTAATTAGTCCTATTTTGGGAATAAAAACATGACAGTCCTATTTTGGAATTTTCGAACTTTTTAATCCCATTTCGGGAACTTTGCCAAAAATAAAACATCTGTCGAGCCATCCGACTGCACCAAGTCCTAAATGCATAGTCATCAAGTTATGAGCTTGCAACGAAATAACACTACTATCTAAATGCGTCGAACTTGTGATATAGATGTATCTTACTCTGCTTGTTGACAAACCTTATTGAAACCAACACATGCCATTTTGGATTGTTTTATTTAGATAATGGCCTTGTTTGGCAATCAGCTGTTAGCTGTTAATTGGTTATGACAGCTGATTGACAATAGCTGGTTGTGTTAGCTGTTTTAGTTGGCTAATTATGTTAGCTTATTGTCAGCAAATGTTTGATAAATTAGCTGTTTAAGAATAGATGTTTGGGTGTAAAAAGACATATTAGGACATTAGTATTTAATCTAATTTCTCCTTGAGCATTTCGAAAATTATACGTTGTATTTTTTATTGCAATCAAATTATATACTACGTATTAAAAAGGAATTAGGGATAAAAATAAATCAAAAAAATAAATGTGAAATTTTGAAATATGATCAAGAGATAATTTAATTAATCAATTACCCACCTTGAGTTTTGTGAAATATGCTGGCCGACACATTATATGATAATAAGTGGAAAAGGAGACATTTGTTTACAAGTCTGATGGAAACTTTCACATGGATAAACAAAGAAAGTAGGGCTGGGACTTTGGAATCAAGAACCGGAGAACCGAACCGGACCGAACCGTTATGACCTGGTTCGGTTCGGTTCCACCATTTATTAGTTATTTTTTAACGGTTCGGTTCCTATTTTTTATGGGTTTTTTACAAGAATATTACTAAAATAAAACATATTTACATAAATATGATTAGTCATTACTACAATGTGGTTTAGTGATAACTTAAGCTCAAAATTTGAACATGAATTACTATGATTTCATTACTATAGTCACTAGTCATATTTTTGTAAATCATCTTTATTTTGATTATATTTATGTAATTATTTCATTTTTTATTAATGGTTCGGTTCTCGGTTCCTGAAAAAAATATGTACTAGGAACCGTTAAGGAACCGTTATATATAATAATTAAAATTATATATATTTATTATGAGTATATATATTTTAATGTATATTTACTTACTTATTTTTATATTACATTCATTATTTTAGTTTAGTTATTCAACTATTTAAAACTAATATTCACTTCAACCGGTTCTCTTAGGCTTCTTAGGCCTCTCATTAGGTCCAAACTCCAGCGGGTCGAAACTTTGAAGGTCCAAAGTATTTAAAATTATTGTTCTCTTTAACTGTTTAAGCATATTTGTAGCGTAATTTCAAACGTAGAATGTCTTTTTGGCAAAAATTTAGTCATGATTTGTAAGAATTTTTTCAAAGACTAGGAACCGTTAAATGACAAGAACCGAACCGTTAAGAACGGTTCGGTTCCTTATCCGTTCTATAAAATAATTTATAAGAACCGAACCGTTAGTAAAATTTCATATTTTCAAAACGGTTCCACATATTTGGCCTAGGAACCGAACCGGTCCCAGGCCTAAAAGAAAGATAGCATTGGCGATCAATCAAGAGCTCCATAGGTTCGGCGAGAGAAAATAAATAGAGAATAATGAAGGGTAAAAAAGAACTCACAAGCATCAGCCGTAGCAAAACGCTGCTACCCTCAGCGTTTCCATTTTCGGCTTATAGACTTCAACCAGCCAGAGGAAGCAGCTCATTACCAAACACCATTGTCAGCTTCTTGAATAGTCAAACCAATTAAATTTGGTCAAAGAAGCTAAAAAACGGCTGATAAGCCGTTTTCCAAACACAGCCAATATATGTAATCATACTCATCAAAACCATCCTTGAGCTTTGAATACTAATTCACTTCTCTTCATCAACTAAAAAATTGAATATTTTAACAACTTATATGACATCTAAACTCTCATATAAAAACTAGAGTGAATTCCCTAAATAGGACTAAAAAGTGGAAAAATTGCACAAATAGGACTACATTTTTTAAATTCCCTTAATAGGACTATTTATGTGTGTTTGGACAAATATACCCTTGTAACTTGTGAAATGTTTTAATTAATAATAAAATCATAAAAAAATTAATAAAAATCGAAAAAAATACTAAAAATCGTAAAACAAATAATAGAAAATTAATAAAAATATTTTTAAAAAAAAATAAAAAATATTTTTTAAAAAAAAAATAAAAAATAAATAAAAAAATCATAAAATTAAAAAAAACACATTACCACCCCTGCCACCCCCAACACCACCATCTCCCATCACCGGACAAAAATATGCCAACATTTTAAATAATGCCATAATGATGGCATAATCAATGAAAATGTTGGCATATTGAAGAGTAATTATGCCATCTTTTTGGCATTTTCAGAAAAATATGGCATTTTTTTACCAAAAGTGGAAGAAATTTCACCAATCAGAGGTGGTGGTGCTGGGAGGCGGCGGGAGGCGGTGAGAAAGGTATCCATAATTTTTTTCATTTTTTATGGGTTTTTACTATTTTTATTATTTTTTTAAAAAAATTAAAAAAATAAAAAATTAAATTTTTTATTTTATAAATGTTTTATAAATTTTTTTTAATTTTTTTACGTTTTTTAAATATTTTTTTACGTTTTTTCTGATTTTATTATGAATTAAAGCATTTCATTATGAATTAATACTCTTAGGGGTATTTAGGTTAAAAAATCAATGTTTAGTCCTATTTAGGGAATTTTAAAAATAGTAGTCCTATTTGTGCTTTTTAGGAACTTTTTAGTCCTATTTAGGACAATTTCCGTAAAAACTAGTATTATTTACCTGATCAAAAGAAGAGGCCTTATTCTAGTGTGTGGATGAAACTGTAGAAGTACTTCTAGGTGCTCCAAATTGCTTCTAAAAGTAGTTTTTAAAAGCGGTGTGAAATCAACTTATGAAAAAGTAATTCTAATTATGGTTCTATTTTTAAAAAATAAGCTGGAGCCGAATCAATTCTAAACACCCCTCTATGACCTAAGTACTAAAGCTTATTTTTGGGGGACTAAGAGGGGGCGCTTGCCCCCTCATCCACCCAGGTCCTCCATTGAATGCCGTCGAACGATAATTGCCCACAAGAAAGAATAGGGCGGGCAGGTTTGAGTGCAACACAGAGTGGTGAGATATTTCCCCACGAAATTAATTATGTTGAATATAATTATATGTAAAAAAATTAAAGGGGAAATTCATAAGAATAAGGGAGAAGGGCCAAAAAGGATTTTTAATGAATCTCAGATAGGACACTCGGGTTTATGATGGACCAAATAAACACAAATTTAAACTTTTAGGTTCATTTTTAACCACTCACTCACATTGCCGTTAAACGGCCGTTTCCCAATTTTCTAAAACGTAAAAACGTCAAACACCTTGTCTTCTCCATTACAATCTTCTTCTTCCTTATTTTCATCATTTTCTTCGGCTCTTTCTTCCGGCATACCCATATCTGGTGCAAATTTGAGCAATATCTGATGTTTTTCCACGCTTTGAGCCAGAGTGCAAATCAAAACCAACTTTTGAGCAAATCCCACAATCCAATTCCCTGAAATGCATAACCAACCAAAAAAAGTGAATGGATTACTATTTTGATAGAGTCCTCCAAAATTTTGGGCGAATTGTTCAGCCTGCTCATCCTCCATTTACTGCCGTGTGATGGATTGCATTTTCTGAACCCCACTGCTTATCATTCTTGGAACAACTCCGTATGTTCTTTTCCCAGTTCTTGAAACCATTCCTGAAGTCGCCCATTTTTCTCATTAGTTCCCATTCTTGAAATTTCCTTGCCATTTTTGAGGAAGTCGTGTATTCTGTCTGCGACTGCCGTCTTGCCCACCT